CATGATCCATTCAAGTGCAAGGCATGGTGGTGCACACTGCAATCCAGCACTCGGGGTAGGTGGAGGCAGGAGGAGGTAGAGCTGGAGGCAATTTGGGCTACATAATGATACCCTGTCTCAAAACCCAAGAGCTGGGGATGTAGCTCAGTGGTAGAGCACTTGCATATCACATGCAAGGCCCTGGGTGTGATCCCAGCACTACAAAAACAAAAAAAACCCAAAAAACAGTGCAAGACTTTCCAACAGATTTTTATATAAGAATATGAGTTCACTGATATGGCTTCAAGATCATTTAGAACTAACTGCGGTGCCTTCCATTTGTTAAATTTTAGCGCACTTTCAGAGACTGTCCACCATTATTCAAAAGGGTTATTAAACTATCCCTGTCTTTTCAAGTACATTCTTTGAGGGGTTGGCCTGCCTGTATAACTTAACACAAACAGACCGGAAAGTAGATGGGAGTAGTGGACGTCTTCCATTGAGCCAGACATTAAAGATTTGCAATAACATAAAACAATGCCACTCTCCTCACTGGTTTTCTGCTTTGCTTTGTTTTGCAGTAACCAGGGCCCCATGCTAGGTAACAGCTGTCTCACTTGAGCTATGCACACAGCCCTTTTGTTTCTATTTTGTTTTTGAGACCAGGTACCCCTAACTTTGCCAAGTCTGGCCTCAAACTTGATCTTCCTGCCTCTGCCTCCCAAGTAGCTGGGATTATAGATGTGTACCACCATGCTTGGTCTTACTATTTTTTTTGTTTTAAGAGACATAATTACCTTAATACAAATGTTATTTACACTAAAATGTAATGGGTTCATTACTGTTATTTTTAAATAAATCAATACATTTACAGTTTTGAGTTTTAATTCATGTATCTATCAGAAAAAGCTCTATGTAGTCCTCAATTTTTTTAGTTTTTACAAAAACATGACATTTTTCACAATATCGAGTCTGCATTATTGATTCCATCACTTAAAGCTGTGTCACCTTGAACCTCTCTGTACTTCAACTTACATGTTAAGTAACTTGCTCTTGCACTCACAGCTAGCAAGTGGGAAACTTTGCTTTGAGTACCACATTAGCTGCCCGCCTGCATCATAGATGACAGGAATAAAACACAGGTCTTTATAATCCTTGGCAGACAACTGCACTTTTTCAATAAAGAAGTACTGATTCAAAACTGCAAAACCCTGTGAGTAGAAGGTTAGCTGGCAAACCATTATAACTGGGTGTGCTGAACACGTAATTATGGCAGCTGGAAATAAAGCTGGGCGTGCAAGATCCTTCATTATAATGGTGTTCAGAGTTTTATTACCTCAAGAGCCCAGACCTTACCTTTCACACTGTATAACCCCCACTCCCCAAAATTAGCCACAGTCAGTTTTGTCCAAATATCCCAGGTTTCATCAGCCTCTTTGGGACCAGAGAAAATCCAGACCAAGATGCACTGTGCTGACGCTCTGGGCACTGAAATCCCATCTCCATTAACACAGCAGAGGTGGCAGCCCGGTCCCAGTTACTGAAATGAAAGTGCCCAGCTAAACATATTCTCCTGTCTTAATAATGACTGTGTGTGATCACTGATTTTATGAACTAAGAATGGAAAGTAAATACACACAGAAAATAGCCTCGATTAGAAAACAGAAGTCAGACATAACACTGCAGCACTACGACGGCCTCTAGGCGCCAAGAGTAAATATGTGATTACTGAGTGAGCTGGTGAAGAGGTGAATGCACGAAATGTACCTGTACTGCTGGCAGGTCGGCAGCTTGGTCTGGTGACATATGTTCAAGGGAGAACTCAGCTGAATAATTATTCAAGATCCGCTTCAAATTTTCTATTTCTTCATCACATTCATTGGTTTGTTTTATGACTACCTATAAAATAACACCCCCCCCAAAAAAGAAGAATCATTGTCATAAACTAGGGACGAGGATAATGGACTTTCTACTGTCCATTCAATCATGAGCTCCAGGTGAGTGCAGAAAATATGAATCTGTATATACAGGTTCTAAGTTCTGAGTATAGTATAATTCTATTCTAAGACAGGTGTCCTCTAAACAGTATCTATACTAGGTTTTAAATATGGAGAGCACCTTTGCAAAGCTGGTGCCTGACCTTCTCATGCCAGGGCACGGTGGGTGGGGCTTGGAGTAGAATGAGATACATCTTTGCTCTCCTGTATTTCCAGTCTAGAGGGCTTATTTGGTGAAGCATTTTAGAGATGTTAACATCAAGTTCCTAAGTCTTAAGAAATTACTGGTATGTCACATATACCATTTTCATACATAAGCCACATGGGGTTTTCTGCACAAAGTGGTGATGTGACTGATCCAGAATTGAGTGAAGATGACTTTCCTGGTGCAGACATATCCTTACCTGGTACCCTTTAGGATCAGTGATGTGCATTTTATAACTAACAAGCCAAAGATTTGAGAGCAGTTTGAGTTTGCAGATAAGGCGAAACTAACCAGAACAGCACCTGGAATCTACAGTTAAGGGAGCAGAGAGCTTGGACCTATTCAAGGACTAAATGATAGGATTGAAGTCTGTGAAACATAAAGAAACACACACACACACACACACAAAGATAAAGAAACACACTTCAAAAGCAAGCCTAGACAGAGAAACCTTTTGGTATGCTTTATAATGAAGCCAAATGTCTTTTGAAACTACAAAGTTTCTGGCCAATGCATAGTTCTGGATTTTCTTTAATATTTAACCATAATTTTAGCTGCGGGCTGGAAATGAGTAACTACATTCACTGTATATTCTTGTTCTCCAGCTCAACAATGACTGATACCCAGTTTCTCCCCACAAAAGGAATTTGATTTTCCACAGTGGTGGCACTTGTAATATCTAATGCAGAAATTAAAGGAAATATACCAGGCTCTACCGATTTTCATCATCACTGGCTTACTTAGCTTGGAAACAGCAGAGGGGACATCTGATTTCCTCTGACACAGTAAGAAGGACATTTTTACCAGCACAGTTTGATATCTAACTTGGGAAAAACATAGCAGTATCTTCCATTTCCCTTCCCATCTGTGAAGAAGCCACTTCACAGCAAAGTTAGATCTGTTACTGTCTTTTCTTGACCAGGAAACCAAAAAAGCACAAAAAGAATGCATCAAATTCGGTATTTTTTTCACTTTACAGAGTATTACAAAAATAATACATAGAGTTCCAGGTCTCTTCTCTCTCTGTGGGTGTTAGGAAATGACACCACTTGACCAAAACGCAGGCCCGGGAGACTGTAGGAGAGAAGACTCAAACGAGGGGGCTGGACTTGGTGGCCCACGCCTGAAATCCTAGCATGTGGGAGGCAGAGGCAGGAGGATTGAGAGTTTGAGGCCAGCCTCAAACATAGCAAGACCCTGTCTCAAAAATTGAAAAAAAAGACTCAAAGCAGGAAGAACAGTGTCCTTGAACCTAAACACTGCAGCTCTCAAAGGCAGGATGCAGTACGTCTACAAAGAGGGTTGACTAACTAGAGAATTCATGGCTTTTTTCTGCCATTTTCTGTTCTTAGGGGGGGAGTGGCTGCTGATGTAGGAATGAAAAATGAAGAAAAAGGTAATGTCTAACAAATGATGACTCCAGACTTGAGACTAGTGATCTAACAAGCTAAGGAATTTGAAAAACCCCTCTGGGGAGAGGAAGAAAGAGGTCATCAGTTAGAAGGAAGAGAGCCCCAACACAGAGAAATGACACCAGGTGTTCACAAATGCAAATTCTTGTCCTATTTGTAAACAAATTAACTGCTACACAATTAATTGTACAGTCTCTAAGCAAGTCATTGACACTGTCACTCCTCTGCAAAGACACTACAGTGCATATCTACCTACATCACAAGTTGGAGGACAAAATGAGCTGATCAGGGCAGGGAGTGTGGCTCAAGTGTTGGAGCACCTGCTTTGCAGGTGCAAGGCCCTGAGTTCAAATCCTAGTACTGGAAAAAAAAAATAGCTAATCAATAGGAAATGAGAGGACTGAGATGGACACAGAGATTTTCACATGATGATTACTTCATAGATTTGTTGGTCTCCAGAGACTGCAAGTGTCCCACCATTTTTTTACTCATGTTTACTTTATTTTTTATTTTTTGTTTTTTTGAGACAGGGCCTTGTTATGTAGCCCAGGCTGGCCTAGAACCTGGGATTGCAGTCATGTCCTACCACACTTGGCACCCATGTAGGTTTTTAATATTCCTAGAATGGAATTAAGTAGGCCACAACTATACTGTAGCTTGAGCAAGGGTAAGAATCAAGAAAAATAACTTAAGCCCCTTTTGGGCAAGAATACAGGCTTTTGTATAACTGCTACCTCCTGGGTAAGAATCACTTTTGATTACAATTAAGAGCAAACTCATGGTTTCTGAACATTTTCATGCTGTTATCACAAGCTGCTTACCTTCAATAATTCGTTTTGTTCCTGAGTCACATTTTCCAATAGTTTTACATCTTGTAAAAGCTGATTTGTCCTCTGGAACACAGGCAGAGTTTTCACTCCTGTCTGGGGTAAACTTAGTTCTACTTGGTAAGACACTATCTCGCCAATGGTCTTCTTCATGGGACGTATATTCTCAAGTATGACCTGAATGACAGAAGGGAAGTATGGTTCATAAATGGAGGGGAAAAAAGCAAACAAAATAGGCCACTGCTAAGTTTGGTTATTCAAAATTAAAATATTGTATAATTTAGTCTTGAATCTACAGTTTTAATTTTTAAAACATTTACTTAACTCAAACTGAAAAGATCTGCTGAATCACTTGGGCAGAGGAAAAATAAGGGTTTCAAGAAAGATGCCTGGGGCAAGAGTAGCTTCCCAGCCCACAACAGTCTACTGCCTTGCTTCCTCCCCTCCTTCCATATAGAACTAAAGTTTGGCTCTGTGTTGTCCCAGGCGTGGGCCTTGCAAGGACGGGCAATGTAACTTACTCTCAAAGTCACTGCATGTAGCATAGGCCTTCTACACAGCAAGCCCTCAAAAACTGCTTGCTGACTTGAGCCTAATTGCCTGGCCAACCTTTCTGAGTCCAGGAGCATAATTATATTTTGCTTTAATATATCTGCTCCATAAAAAATTACAAGAGATTACTCATGTCACTAAATACTCATATGTACCACTCCATTTAATCCTCACCACCATTCTGCAAGAGAAGCATCCTAACCTCCACTTCGCAGGGAAGGACACTGGGTTCTCAGAAGTTAAAGGACATGTAAGCTTAGACTGGAAGAGGATTAGAATCCTGGCAGGATTAGAACCCAGCCCAGCAGATTCCACAGCACACGTTCTCACTAGGTTGAGGGGGCAGAAGTTTCTTAGCAGTTAAGTGTGCTTTGGCCTTGTGCCAGGCTCCATTTACATTATACTATCTAATGTAAGGACTTCAAATACCAATGTACACACAGGAAAGACGGTCTGAGTAATAAACAGTCTCCAAGTCCCACAGCCTGAGATCAGTGTCACTGGGGTCTGACTTAGGCGCCCAAGTGCTTGGGAAAGCAAAAGTTGTGTGAAAAAGTGATCTCCAGGAAAATGGCTGTTACATAGGTAGTGCTGCAAATACAATTTCAAATATATTCATCCTATCTATCTACCACTCAACCTTATTTTGCTTTTACTCTAGCAGGACTAATACTTTGTATCACACCTGTGTTTACATATTTCTAAACAGATGTGATCAGTATTATGAGGAAATACTTTTGATAATGACCCACACTTACCTCCCCATGTTTAAGATGTTCTTCGGGTGAAAAATCAAAGATTTCTTTTGATAACAGGATAGCTTTGATTTTTGAAACCTTTTTCTCCATTGATTTTACTTCAGCTTCAATAGCAACCACATCCTACAATTTCAGAAACAAGAACACACTCATGCAATATATGTACATTAATAATCTATATGGCCTGTGGAGTGGCTCAAGCAGTAGACTGCCTGCCAAGCGAGCATGAAGCCCTGAGTTCAAATCCCAGTACCACCAAAAGAAAACAATAATATGTGAAACACAATTTATTGCCATTAAGTCTGCTCTCATATTTATCCAAAGAATATTTGCCATTTATAACTCTTAGAAACCAAGTATAATAGAATAAAAATGTTACTGTATTACAACAGAATTCCATCCTGCAAAGCACTACTTACGCTTGGTTGAATTAAAAATGTATTCATGAGAACAAAAGTGGTATACAACCAAACCAATTTCTTTAAAATAAACTCAATTATCTACAAATTCTTTAAATTTCTCTTTGGAATGTGTTTAAACACTTGAGTACAAGTGTTCTGACACTTTAGAGATTCTCACTGCTGTAAGTAAAATGAGAAAGTCACCATTGAGAAACTAGCACACAAGGAGGCAGAAAACAGACAGGGCTTGCTTATCAACCTCCTAATAAGCTGCTGTCATACAGAATGTCACTGAATTGATTCATAATCCACTGAAATTAATTTAAACCATGGATTGCTGTTCAACGGTTATTCCTGAACCTTAAGGTGAAAATGCCACAAAAATAAGTTAAAATATGTGTGCAAACCAGGCATACTGAGGAGCTCACAGGTGTCAGACAGCCTGCAGACCTTGACTTTAGGGTTTGATTCAAAAGCACCATAGCAACAAGGTGACACAGTTAATAAGGGAGATTTTTTTAAATGGCATAAAAATAGACTAAACGTTTTAAATTATATACAGCAGTAAGTATATTAACTATAGTAATACCTCCAAATAATGAGAAAAAAGTTAAATTACAATGAAATTTATTTTCTGGATCTGCTCTTTAGGGGAATACAGAAGCATTGTAAAATTGTGGAACAATCTCCCTCAGTAGCCAAGAATTTATTCTGAAATTATTCCTTGAAGTACCTGAGTGCAGCACAGGGAATGTCACTGGGAAAGAAAAGGTAAGTAATTAAGAACTAACTGAGACTCCCTTTACTAGAGAACTCTGTCTTTAAGTAAATGACTCACGCTTCAAGCCAAAACAAAATTACTTCATAATCCAAGGGCTCACATAGCAGTCCTCAATAACTACTTGTTATGGGTGAATTCCTTTTCTCATATTTTCTGTTTCTTTTTTTGGGTAGTACTAGGGTTTGAGCTTGTTAGATAAGCGCTCTACCACTTGAGCCACTCCACCATGTGGGTGAATTCCTAATCAGTGCTTTTGAATCAACAGGATCTCCATCTTGACAAAGAGAAAGCAATGCACTTATTTGATCAGGATTCTTCACTTTAGACAGGCTGTTTCTGATAAGAATGGGCAATGTGGGCTGCGGAGTGCTCACTGGTAGAGTGTTTGTGGAGTACACAGGAGGCACTGAGTCTCCTTCCCAGCACTGCAAAACAAACAAAAAGCCCCAAAAGAGTGGGGGTGTGCTTTCTTGTTGCAGTTGCACTACAGGTTGAAAATAAAGTAAAATATAATTCAAGAAATAACATAAATGAAAAATGTACCTGCTCAATATATATTCATATGATTGGGATATAATTAGTAGTATAACTCTTACTTACTAAAGGAAATATAAATTAAAAATAGAAAATCAGTTGGGTGTCAGTGACTCATGCCTGTAATGCTAGCTACCTGGGAGGTTAGGATGGGAGGACTGTGGTTCCTGGCCAGACTGGGTAAAAATTTATAAGATCCCATCTCAATGGAAGAAAGCTGGACCTGGTGGTGTGCACCTGTCATCTTAGCAATGGTGGGAAGTGTAAAATACGAGGGTCTCGGTCCAAGCTGGTCTGGGCAAAAAGTGAGACCCTATCTCCAAAATAACGAGAGCAGAGAGGCTGGAGGGATGGCTCAAGCAATAAAATGCCTGCCTAGCAAACATGAAGGCTGGAATTCGAATTCCAGGACCACCAAAAAGAAAAAAAAAAAAAAAAAAAAAGAAACACATGTTTATGATGCAAACTTACATCTGCCATCCTCTGAATGTGTGGAAGGCTTTCCATTATTTGTTGTTGTAAAGTTGCCACCTGACCACTTAACTCTTGTATGGATTGTATTAAGTCATCTGTTTCAAAAATGATTGACAAGTCTTCTAGATCCGTGAAAATTGTGTGTAAAAGATGGTGCTTCTGTTCTGAATCTTCCAAAGACATCTGATGGAGAAGCAAGAGATAGAGAAATGTGAAAAAAATGAAACATCAATCCCAGTGCTGCAGGACAAAAGAAGATAGTGAGACAAATTTAAAATTTAAATCACAGAAATTTTAATTTGTCAGTATTCCAAACTCCTGGTCATTTCCATTTTCCTTAATTTTTTTTGTTCTTTTTAGAAGTAATGGTATTTGAATACAGGACCTCCTGTTTACTGGGCAATGCTCTACCACTTGAGCCATGCTCCCAGTCCTTCTTGCTTTCAGTGTTTTTCAGATAGGATCTTGTGTTCTTGCCCAGGCTGACCCTGTAAAACAAATTTCCTACCTCTACCTACCAAGTAGCTGGGATTACAGACATGCGTCGCCACACCTTTTCATAATGAAATCACTGGACACACTATCGTGAGTGGCACTGGAGATGACTTTAGAGTTCTGCTATGATATTGTATATATGGGTTCAATGTTCCTTATCCAAAACGCTTGGGACAAAAAGTGTTTTGGAGTTCAGAATTATTTTCAGATTTTATAATATGTGTATATATATATATAATTGGAGGATGGAACCCAAGTCTAAATAAAAAATTGATTATATAACATATACATCTTCTGTATATAGCCTGAAGGTAATTTTTACAATATTTTTAGAGTGTTCATTCTGACTGTCACAAGAGGTCAAGTGTGGATCAAGTGTGGATTTTCTACTTGTCGTGCCATGTCAGTACTCAAAAAAGCTTCAGATGTTGGGAACATTTCAGACGTTAGGTGTTAAGAGTTAGTGATGATCAACCCATAATAGGTAATATATTTATTTAGACTTCATCCTGAGATCCTAGCAGAGAGCTTCTAAATCCTTAGAACATCCTGGGTCAGAGAGGTGAGAGGAATGTCTTTAGTTACTCAAAATAAGCCGCTTTAAAACACATGTTGACTTTCATATTAAGATTTGGGTTTGTCCAGCTTGTTGATTATCTTCTGACTTTCTGTTATTTTTGTGATGCAGATTAATTTTATGATACCATTTATTAATCATTTATGGATTCTGGAGCCTGTGTCATGTTTAAAAAGGCAAAGTTCCTCTCCATTTGGATATTATTTAAATAAAATCTCTCCTGTTTTCTTTTAATACTTTCATGGATTTTTTTTTTAACTTAAACCTTTGTGGTTTAATCTGGAACTGATTTTGATATAAGAAACTAAGAAGAGACCTACACTTTGTTTTAGATGGCTACCATTTGTCTAAACATAACACCAACTATTAAATCATCTGCTTTTCTTAAAAAAAAATATTTGGGTTTGTTATCATTGTTGTTTGTTTGTTTTGTAGTGCTGGGCATCAAACCCAGGGCACTGCGTATGCTTGGCAAGTGCTCTACCACTGCAAACTTCATCTGAAAACATCTTAGCTGCCGATCGGAAATGGTCAGTCTTTTAATGCAGTCTTCACTTAATTCCATAAGAAATCAGTGATACAAGACAGTACACTTACTCAAGCAGAATTCTAACCATAACTCAGAATTTTATATTAATCCTATTCAAAACCCTATTAGGGAAAAACTCATAGTAAAATAAAACATTTTGCCAGAGTATCATTTACAATTGCATCAAAAAAATACATAGGGTTAAATTTAGCAATATACTTGCAAGACCTGTACAGCAAAACTATAAAATAGTGCTAAAAAAATTAAAGATCAAAATAAAGAAAGAGATATATATCACGTTCCTTGATTGAAAAGTCAACATGGTTAAGATAAATTCTCCCCCAAACTCATCTACAGATTTAATGCAGTTCCTCTCAAAATTCTAACAGACCTCAATAGAAATGGAGAGGTTGATTCTAAGATTTCAAAGGAAATGCAAAAGAATAAGAGGAGCCAAGGCAAATCTGAATAAGAAGAGCAAAGTGATAGAGTTCATGTTGATTGATTTCAATAAAGTTATAGCAATCAATACTGCCATAATGGTGGAAGAAAGACACCAGATCAATACAACAGAAGAGGGAATCAGAAATAGATTCACATGTGTGAGATCAATTGATTTTTAACAAAGTAAAAAGGAATTCAGTGGGGAGAATCATTTCAATCAATGATGTAGGAGGGCTGGTGGAGTGGCTCAAGTGGTAGGGTGCCTGTCTAGCAAGTGTAAGGCCCTGAGTTCTGGAACAAATGGAAAAAAAAATGGACCTCGATCCTTGACTCACACCATACACAATTAACATTAAATGGATCACAAAATCTAAAGTAAGAGTTAATACTATCAAATTTCTAGACGATAACATAGAAGGAAATCTTTGTGACCTTGGGTCAGGTGAAGATTCTTGAAGACAGCATAAAAGAATAATGCATAGAAAGACATACTGATAAATTGGGCTTCAAACCAATTACCATTTGCTCTCAGAAAAAACACTGATAAGAGAATTCTAAAGATAAGCCACAAAGCCGGGTGCTGGTTGCTCAGGCCTGTAATCCTCGTTGCTCCAAGGTAGAGATCAAGAGGATTGTGGTTCAAAGCCAGCACAGGAAAAAAAAAGTTTGGGAGACCCAATCTCAAAAAACCGTTCACAAAAATAGGGCTGGTGCAGTGGCTCAAGGTGAAGGCCCTGAGCTCAAGTCCCAACAAAAAGTAAAAAAAAAAAAAAAAGATAAGCCACAGACTGGGGAAAATATTTATAAAGCACATACACAGAAATAGTTTTTAGAATGTTCTACAAATAACTTATATGTCCAATTTAAATATGGGGAAATTTGGATACTTCGCAAAGGAAGTACATAAACGACAAGTAAGGACATGAACAAATGAGACTCAAGATCATGAGTCACTAGAGAAACGTCACTTAAACCGCAATGAGACACCAGGGCTGGTCACTTACAAGCTAGGCAATATCAAGTGCAGGTGAAAATATGGAGCAATTAGAACTCACACTGTTGGTGGGAATGAAAAATGGGGCAGCCAGCTTGGAAAATAATCTGGTAGTTTTTATTTAGACACCATTAATACAGTCAGCAATCCTACTCATTGGTATTTATCTATTGCAATGAAATGAAATGAAAACCTATGTCCACACAGAGATCTGAACACAAACGTTCTAGCAGCTTTGCTCATGATGGTTGTGGTGAGCAGCCTCTAAAATGGCTCCCATGTCCCCGCTTCTTGGGAATTGAGCTCATTTAACACAGTTCCCAAGAATGCAGCCTGCGTTCACTCATTTATTTGTAGTGAAATATGGCGGGAGTGATGTCACTTGAAAGATTACAACGTGGCTCTGCCTTGGGAGCACTGTCACTCTCCGTGAGGTTGTTTATGCTGAGGGAAGCCAGCTGCGATGCCATGGAGTGGCCTGTGTGTGGACGTGGATGTGCGAGGCCTCCAGGGCTGTGTGGATCCTGTACTCCCTCACCCAAACCCCACCTTCTAAGGTGTTGACTTCAGCACCCTAAGTATTCTCACGAGAGACCAGGAGACAAACTCAGCTAGTCATGCCGAGGGTCCCGACCTGCAGAGACTGAGATAATAAACGTTTGTTGTCTTAAGCCTACACATTTCAGTGTAATGTGTTACACAGCAATAGCTAACACATAGCTCAAAATCAGAAACAAACCCAAATGCCTATTAACTGGTGAATGGAAAAGCAAATTGCTTATTTCCTTAAAAGGAACACTACTCAGCCACCAAAAGCATGAAGTACTGGGGCCATGCCTCAATCCCATCTACTCTGGAGGCAGTATGAAGGGGGCTGCCTGCCACGGCACCTGAGGAAACCTTTTGGGGTGATGGAAATGTTCTTCAAACTGATGGCGGAGGTATTCACCCAGTCACACCTTCATCACCTTTACCACCTAACAGCTGAGAACTGCAGTTAAAATGGGCCTATTTTACTCTAAGCAAATGGTAGCCAATGCGGTTGATTTAAAAACAAGTTAGTTCACTATTGTTACAGTAACAATTCACATCTCAGTGACTTTCAACCGTAGCAGCTGTATTAGTGAAATCATCTTCAGGTTACACAAACCTGTTTTAACAAATGCAATCCAGGCAGAAAGTTATGCAGTTAAGACAAACTTTTAGATAATTAATTAATTAATTAATTAACTTTATAATTTTGAGACAGGTTGCCTCAAACTCATGATCCTCTTCCCTTAGCCTCCGAAGTACTGCAAATACAAGGCAGACACCACCACACTTGGCAAAACTATTTAAGTCTTTTTTTTTTTTTGGTGGTACTGGAGTTTGAATTCAGGGCCCTGTGCTTGCTAGGCAGGTACTCTACCACATGAACCATTTCACCAGCCCATTTTTGTGTTGGGTGTTTTTGAGATAGGGTCTCATGAACTATTTGTCCAGGCTGGCACTGAACCACGATCCTCCTGATCTCTGCCTCCTGAATACCTAGGATTCCAGGTGTGAACCATTAGTGCCTGACAACTATTTAAATCTTACTTGAGGGTTCTGTTAGCTTTTTAAGATTTATTTTTAAAAAGGCCAGGTAATGCCAGAAAATGGAAAGGATCATTCTAAGAGTAGGACAGTTATTTTCATTCTAAGGACAAAAGTGGGGGTTCATGGGAGTAGGTCTTTGGGACTTACTTCCCAAGTGGGGATTTTTTAGGATCCATTCTGTGGGAATTAAACCCCTATCTTTCCATGTCCCTACTTCCTCTACTCAATCCTAGTGTGTAACAAAGTCCAACAACATAAAATGTCCCCGACAGTTTGAGAAATACTTTCACACTTGCACATTAAAACATTTTTTCTTTTTTGGCTGTACGGGGGTTTGAACTCCTAGCCTTGAGCTTGCAAGGCAGGAACTCTACCATTTGAGCCACTCCCCCAGCCACACTTGTACATTTGTATCAGTAGAAAGTAGAAAAAGTTCACCTGCTCTTGCCTGAGCTCATGTTAGTAAGTTTTTTAATTTGACAAAAGCATTTGAAGAGTGGGGGAGCACATTACTGTCTTCTGATCTGGAAAGCTCCTAAAAAATGGTGAATCGTTAAGGCATTAAAGCAATTAAAAACAAAAAGATGACACATGCTCTGGGAATGTTGAAAATATATCTAAGGTGTGGTGTGTGTGTGTGTGTGTGTGTGTGTATGGCAGGGGGTAGGGGGTGAGGGGATGAGGGAGTTGGGGAGGAATCACGAGGAAGGGCAAGAAAAGAAATAAATGAAGAATCTCAACAACTGTTACCATGGGACAAAAACTGATCAATACTGTGATTATCCCAACATACTCCTATCCCTACTGGCACTGAAGGGAAGGGGTCACACAGGTCCTGTGTACTAAGGAATGAGAATACCAGGCTAGCTCAGAATTTTATGGGCTAAAGCCATCAATACCATCCAGTGCAATTCTCACTTCACACTAAGTTATCTCAAAAGTCAAAAAGGACCAGATCCTGATCTCCAAAATCTCCATGTAGGTCTGGCCCTATTCCATGCTTCCTTCTGTCTCCTGGCATGCTTAGAGGTAAGACTGTTATTCAGAAGAGGAAAAGGCACTAAGAACGAGACGGAGGAGGAGGAGAAGGAAGGGAGGAAGAAGAAGGAAAAGGGGAAGCAAAGAGGGGAGAAGAAGAGGAAGAAAGGAAGAAGGATAAGGAAGAAAAGGAAGAGTGTTAGTGTACAAAAGGGAAGCCATGTTAGGATTGGACTCCCTGATCCTTTCCTTTTGGCTGCTTACTGGAAACACCCTACCACTTACTGAAAGGACCACACCTAGACTCAAGGGAATGACAAACTCTCACCTTGCCTGGTGGGAGCTGTCTGAGCATTCATCTTCTCTAGCTTTCCCAAGCAATTGTTGATCCCAGAAAAATCTCCCCACCAAGCTAAACTGCCCCTCCAGACCCCTCCCCTATATCTACTCCAAGTCTAAGTGGCAGTGGGGTCTGGCTTTGGCTGGAAACTCCCCTCTGCAGGGCTTCTTCCCAAATAAACCCTTCCCAAGCAGAAAACCTCAGAGGACTTACTTGGAGGGTGCTAGCATGGTGACTCAGAGTCCTTGAAGAGTCATAGGGGGCAGGATTGGACAGCAAACGACGGGTACTTTCTATCCAAGCTTCAGTACTCTTCAAAAGATCATTATACTCCTCCATCTTAATTGTGGCCTGCGAGAGAAATGTGGTACACACTCGGGCAATGCTGTTTGCTGGAGCTGAGTGATTCCTGAATGAAGAGTTACCTGCTATTTGTCAGTGGTGAGTCAGGCCTCCTCTCCCATGACCGAGGACAATGCTCCTCTCCCGCCCCCCGCTGCAGGGCTCACATCCTTCCAACTTTTAAGACCAACCCTGACCACAGGTAGAAAGGATCTAAGAAGTTCTACCCCAACACTGCACCTCCACAGGGCTCTGAAGTAGCCTAACGTTTATGTTCCATTCTGAAAACAGCTTGCACTTCTTCCTCCCGCCCAGAACCTTGTTCTGTGATATCCCATTTCTTGTAAGACGAGGATGCTATCCTTACTTGATTCCACTCAGAACTTACCAAACCTCAGCCTCTGTTTAGAATGGGGCAGAGAGGGACCTTGTTCCCCCAGTGGCAGTCTTTCTTATGGCTGGCTCCTTCCCTGGACAGCCCACAGAGTCCCCTTACTGTTCCTCATGTGCCTATTGTAAGTCCCAGAGGACTCCTGCCGTGGTCTGACTTTTGGATTCTTGGTTTTGCCGGCCCAATCAGACTTGCATTGACACTGCAATTCTGTCCCCTCTGTGCCCACATGAGCTTACATGTGGCATGGGTTCAGCTCGTATGGCTAGGAAAGAGACTACCTCTGAACAGAAAAATCTATTTTTCTGTTTTGTTTTGAAGCTGTCTCGGGACTACGCTCTATGTAGCCATCCTGTGTTATTGTCCCACCTTATTTAGCTGAGAGGTTCTGAATTCCACTTTCTGTGACACTTGCTGGTACTGCTGGAAAGGAACCATCAAGTCATCCATCCATTCCTGCACCTGTCCTGGGTCCTGCTCAACCATGTCCTGAAGCTCGGAATCCAGCTCGTTCAGCTCGGAATGCCAGCCATCCAGCTCATCCCACATTTTCTGGAGAAGGAATCATGAAGTCCATTGAGATGAAGATGTCATGGTGGGTTTCACATGGAAATTACATTTGGCAATGCTATCAAAAATCATCACAAGCCTGCTTGTTGAATTTATATTCGGCAACCATTTGTAATCTAAACTGAAAACCACTTTTTCTGAGTTCTCTTACCTGTAACTCTATTCATTTCAAGACAAATTAGCTGTGAGAGAACAGGAAGACCTAAGCATTTTCCAGAGCAAACAAGGTTAATCTAGCCCTAACCTTTCAAAAGTAATTAGGTTTAAGAAAGGCAATTTGAGCTAGTAATGCCTCTGGTCTCAGTGCTGGCAGACTGAGACAGGAGGGTTGCTAGAGCCTAGGAGTTCTAGACCAGCCTATGGTCTATGTGACAGTGAGACACTCCCTAAAAAAAACTAAAAATAAATAAAAATAAAATGACTATTTAGACCTCTGTGTGGGTGCTTAGAAGAGAATTTTAAGTGCAAAAACAAAAGTGATAAAAAAAGTCTGATGCCTAGGAATTAATGTGCTGGCAGGAAGTAACAGCAGCACACATAGTAACAACTGCTTCCTTCACCTTGAGCCACTCCTCCAGCCCTATTTTTGTGAAGGGTTTCTTGAGATAGGGTCTCGTGAACTTTTTGCCTGGGGTGGCTTCAAACCTCGATCCTCCTGATCTCTGCCTCCTGACTAGCTAGGATGACAGGCGTGAGCCACCAGCACCTGGCAACGACTGCTTTTTGACACAAGAAACAAGGAGGCTGGATCCTAATCTAAACCTGTCTGAAGAAGGTCTCAAAGGTAAAGTATTCAAATCTTACTTAATAGTTCTTTAATAACAAAATATTGAGAACTGGGAGAATCTGACTTATAAAAAGTTAGGGTTCTCTGTTTAAGAGCCAAGATTGTGTCTCATATATGTGCCATACCCTGATCTATTTTTAAATGCCCCCAATCATATCAGAGTACTTCTAAAAAGGGACACCACAGTAAGAATTCATACTCACACTTACTCGGGAGGTCAGAGGGTAGAAAGTTATCGTTATGCACAGTTTTATCTAAGCTTTTAATTCCTAAGACATTTTACACAGGAAATAAATTTGAAATTTCTATTTCCCCTTTCTTCAGTTGGCAATCTAAAGGAAAGCTGGTAATACTTTTTCTATGCCATTGATCACTTTTTATATCAGTCTTCCCATGATAAGATCCTTACTGCCCCTTTTGTGTGGAAACACGAGTTCCCAGTCAGGGTGCTCAGGAGTCAGGGCACATGCCTGTCCTGCAAGAACTGAGAACCGTGCTTCAGTGCAGCCTTTCTGCTTTAAGTCCCTGTAGGTGACCTCACATCCCCAATGCCTCTGTCGATCTGGTTCAGGTCTCAGAGCTTCAGATTAATCTAAAGATACTCACCTCGGAATGACTGAGGGGGACAGTGGATGAGAAATGCCACATGCAGGGAGTCAAAGGAGGGCGTTACCTTTTGAATTTCTTGAGCTTCCTCAATGTTTTTACTTTTCTGCTGCAACATCTTTTCCACATGCTGAAGCCCACTGTTAATTTCCTCTATTTTCCTGCTCATTACATAGGATGGCGAGCTCTTCAGGACTTCACTGCTAATCTGTTCCAAGGGAAAAGTCACATGTGGCTTGGAAAGGGTTTCTGCTCTATTCCCAAGTTCAAGCAACAACAGCACAACTCACTATGTTTACTTACAAGAAATTTTCTGGGAGAAAAAATTCCAAACTATACAGGTTAACGCACTAGTGACAGTGCAGAGTAGCAGGCTACTAAATGGCAGTGTGTTTACCTGACCTTTCAAATACAATTTAAAAGGGCTGGAGGTGTGCCTCAAGTGGTAGAGTGCCTGCCTAGCAAGCGTAAGTTCTTGAGCTCAAACCCTGGTACTGCCCACCCCCCCATATTCAATCTAAATATAATATATAAAGTGATAAATTTAAAGGTTCTTTGAAACACTGATTAAATTATGTGAGAGAATTCCTATAGGATAAATTATTATATGATCTCTCCATCCATTTTATGAGAAAAATCCTCCTTTCATACACACACACATATATACATGTGTGTATGAAAGGAGGATACATATATATATACATTGTTGTTGGTTTTGGTAGGACTGGGGTTTGAACTCAGGGCTTCACACTTACAAAGCAGGCACTCTACCACTTGAGCTACACCTCCAGTCCATTTTGCTCTTGTTATTTTGGAGATGGGGATCTCTCAAACTATTTGTCCAGGCAGGCTTCAAACTGCGATCCTCCCAATCTCAGCCTCCCAAGTAGCTAGGATTATAGGCACGAGCCACAAGCATTCAGCTTCACATATGTTTTTAATAAAACCAAACTTATTCTCAAGCCAACTTAAAAACAACATGTAATTTCCACCTTAATATTCATTCGGGTGAAACGACCTTGAAGTAGCTATTTTTTAAGGACGGGAGGCCTCACTTTTCTCTGACTGTTCGTAGTTATGTTTTTCCAGCAATCAGAAATCTAGCTCTTGAGCAGTGCAATTTTTTTAATCAAAATGATTTTCTTAAGAAAATAACTTGTGCTAGGAAAGATAATAAATGAATGTGGATGTATCATTTTTCCAAATGTCTGATTAGTTTGAATTCTTGTTTTAAGCTGTGTTGATAATGCTTTCTCAAAGCTGCCACTAAATGATCAAATAATACCATATACTTTTTTTTCTTTTTGTTATATATACTTTTGTCTAATGCTTTTAATCCTCACCATATTTCTGTAAACTAAACCACCCCATGCAGGTAAGCACACAGACACGAAAACTGAAGCATAGGCTAAATGATGGGCTGAGGTCACAAATCAAGGTAGTGGCTGAACTTGTCCTGCAAAGCCCTCCCAGTAAATCTGAAAGACTGACTTTTATTATTAAGTTACTTTATAGGGGTTTTCCACATCAAATACTCAGGAGAGTAACATTTAGTTTCTCTCAAAACATTTATTTGTCTCTTCAAATAAAACCAATAGTACTTAACCTTAAGAAAGTCTTCTGTGTTAAACATGTATTTGGAGATTACATGGTTTTTACACAGATTACATTTTCCTAAGAAATCCACCGTAGGTCATCCTTGTTCTCACTCTAGAGTCTATTGGAAGTGTACTCCTCTCCTAGCAAACTTTATCACGTGCACAAAAAAGGCAAAAGAAAAAAATAACTCTGTCATAGAAGCTAATGACAGATTATAGTAACTAAGTTTAAAACACGACTTTTGCATGTGCATAACTTACCAAGTTATAGGTAACCTAAGTTTCAAAAAACAACATAAAAATCCTTCTGTGGATGCAGGACCAACCAGAATTTTGTTCTGTTTTGGGTTTGGGTTGCCTTTTCAGAATGCAATCCAACTGTCTTGCTAAGGTACTATGTCTCCAGCACTACACAATATTCCCACCCTTTTGTCATATCTGGACTCTGGGGTATAATGAATGGCCAGGCACGCTTATGAGAATTCTGTTAACATCAGCGCTACACAGATGCTACTTGCTAAGTCCTATTCTTAGTGAGTTGTAAAATTTTTATTTTTATTGCCCTTGGTTGTCATTTCAAAATGTTTCAGGGAGGGGCTGGGATGTAGCTCGGTGGTATAGCACTTGCCTAGCATGCACAGGGCCATGGGTTCGATCCCAGCACCAAAAAAGAAAAGACAAAAAAAAAAAAAAGTTTCAGGGAATATATATTAAAGCAAAGTATTATCCATTTCCAAAGTTTTTAAGTATTTGTATAGTAAGTAAAAACAATAATAACAGCCAAGTATAATATATAATTCTTTTTATATGCAAGAGAAGCAAAACTGAACATTTGAACAACTAAAAACAATTACAGATGACCTAATATTCTGTTGTTCGGGCTACTTATTCCCAATTATTGAATTCTCAGTATTCAGTAGACAGCACCATCACTGTCACTTAACCAAACTCTATAAACCCAGAGCTGAAACCTGGGAAAATGAAAATGTGACATTAAAGGACTTTTGTGTAGTCACTGAGCTCCATCAAGAAGTACACAGTACAAACAGTGCTGTTACCTTCTCATCGATGTCTTCTAGAACTTTTCTGCATTCTTCTACCTGGGATGCAATTTCCGCAGGCACAAGGGTGTACATTTCAGAATACTTGATTCGCAGTCTTTCCATGATGTTCTCGAAAGTTAGTTTCCCTTTCTTAAGAGAGTTCTGAAGCTCCTAAAAATATCAAGCGAGTTTCAGTGCTCCCAGGACAGGGGGAGGAAAACAGGCTCTCCAGCATGTCCTCAGGACTGCATGGAGAAATCACACCATTATACAGGCCAAGCAAACCTGAGAGTGCTCACTTGGGTCAGATGCTGCTTTCTAATTTGTAAAGAATTAAACTTGATCTGTCTTCATAGTGTCAGACCATTGTGGCAAGAAGACATTACAACATCACCTGCTTCTAAAGAACCCTCAGATTTAACTGTATCTAAGTTGCAGTCCTGATCTAAAAAGCTACAAGTAGCAAGAAGTTTCAAAGACGTTCATTGGGTGTTGTTATTAACTTGTAGCTATTTCTCCTTCTTCCTACATTATCATCACAATGAGTCAAGGCCACTAAAAGCCCTAGGCTTGAATCGAAAGTGTCTGTTTCGTGTAATTAGGCAGCCCACAGAACTCCACTTCTTTCAAAAGGGAGGGTTCCTGTTCCAGGGGAAGAATGCTGGCTTGAGGAGATAAAGGAGCCCTGAACAAATAGTCCATTGGCCTAGAAACAAAATCTGATCCCCCTTCTCCTGAAGTAATTATAACAGGAGAAACTCATTTGTTCGGGAAAGTTTCCCAAAGATCAAGTGGAAAAATACTTCTTGACTTCACTCTGACTTTTGTGTTGTTTGTTTGGTTTTTATGGTCACTGTTGGGTAGCATTATTTGTGTTAATGTGGTGAATCACAGCTTTGAAGAATGATTATGACTTTAAATGACTCCGTGATGTGCCACTGCTTTCCTTTTCTTAATTGTCAGCAGAGAACAAATCTAGAGTGGGAAAAGTAAAGAAGGATGCCATTTGGGCGCAGGTGGGGCTGCAGGTCTAGGTGTCATCTTGTTTTATGGAGACTTGGTCCAAGACAGGTCTTCATACAGAGCTACATAGAGATGGCTGCCCCATGAAGAGTGCTTGTGGGAGTGACAATAAGTTCTCTTCTTTCTCTTTCCCTCCCTCTGGGTGGACACAGATAGTCCTGATCAGAGGTAGGCATCACATCCTACTAGAGGAAGAGGCTAACATGCTATCCAAGAGTGTTCCTAGGCCCCTGTTCACCAAACACACTTGATACAAGGTCTCAACTCTGCTGTCCAACAATATGCATCTTTTCCCCTGGCTCTGTTCACAGCACCACAGGGCCTTTGTATGTGCTTTCCTTTCTCCATGATTTTTCCCTTGCCTACTCCTCCACCCTAGTCACCAAGCTACCTCTGCCCCAAGGACTTCGAATACAAGATTGTGCACCAGAACCAGCCACATTCACTAGTTCATCCCTTGATTACCTCAAACTGTTCTGCCCTTTCTGGGTGGTCCACTAATGCCGTATTTTGGAAAGAAGTTGTAGTCTGTTGAAGTAAATTCTTCAAAGCAATTACTTCCTTTGTGAAGGAATGTCTTTCTTGGATTTCAATCTGTATGGATTCCTTATTTTTTTGAGCTTTCTGAAAAAGCCTGAAACAAAACATCAAAATATCATTCTCTGTCCTACTCTTTGTGAAATGGTTTTATTTCAACAATTAACAAAATGTCTGAAGAGTTCACAAAAGATGCTTTTATTCCTAAGAGAAAAGTACCAGTTTTCAGTAGTTTATATACCACATAAACAACCACGTGTCAAATACTTACACCTCAACAAGGCCCTGTCCAAAACTCAAATCCCCAAATGTTCTCTTCTCACACTTTACATTCTAATCACCACCTGTGTCCCCTAGTTTTCTCCAGGCGGTCCTTGATCTCAAATGAAAAGGGTTTAGAGGTGTGATCGGAGTCACAGGAGGACTCCTGTGGACAACCCTTCTGGCCCTTTTCTTTTCAGTTGACCCCATCTGCTGGGGATGTAGTGTGTACCAGAAGAAGCAACTGAGCGGGAGAAAATCATTCCTGAGAGTTATCTGGATAAGTGTCTGTAAGAAATATATATTTGGTCTCTACCTGAGACTAAGCACCTAATATCCCTCCAGAGAGGAGTGAAAGGTAAAGGTGGGTGCATCGATTCTGCTGGTGTTTGCTCTTTGAGCCAGGTTTCTGACACAGCTCTTAAGACCTTGGTAACTTCTGAGTGATGGGATCTTTTGTTCTAATGAGGCAGCTCATGGTTGCCAAGGGAAACAGCCATGTGATTAGAGGACTAAAACTGTTGGTACCACCTTTATCCCACACCACCATCCTCAACCTCCAGAGAGGAGAGGGACTTAAAGGCTAAGTTGATCACCAATGGCAAATGATGACTCAATCATGATTATACAACAAAGCCTCCATAAAAACCCAGAAGGACAAGTCTAGGGAGCATCCTCTGGGTTGCTGAATGTGAGGGGTACCTGAGGACTAGTGTGTCCTGCACATCCTCACAACCTGGGACCCACATGTCTTCTGTGGGGCAGTTCATCTGTACCCTTTACTAAATCTTCTAGTAATATACCAGTAAATGTGTTTCCCTGAATTCTGTGAGCCACTCTGGCAAATTAACTGAACCCAAGGAGCCAGTTGGTCAGAAGTACAGGTGACAACCTGTGACTTGTGATTGATGTCTGAAGAGGGGGTAGTTTTGGGGACAAGAACATTCCAAGTGTGGGATCTGAGCAATCGCAGGTAGATAGTGTCAGAACTGAACTATGGAAAATCAGCTAGTGTCTGCTGGAGAATGGCTTGGCAGACAGGGAAGAAACCCTCCACAAATCTGAGGCTAAATGTAAGAGTGTAATTTGATGCTCTGTGTAAGAGTATGGAGAAAAAGGGTTTTCTTCAGAGCATTCCTAGACATACAATTAATGCATCCTTTGTTTTTATGTCTTGACATCTTTCTCAATGACTGAATCACAGATGCCAGAGAGTCTGGCATAAGAAAATTCAATGTACCATTTTGGTAAACATAATAAAATTACATATAATTTATAGGCTCTTTATGAGGGACTTGCTTAAATAAATTATGGCAGGTCTACATGGTAGAATATTATAGAGTTTATGTTTTTAAATTAACACTTAATGACATAAGGAAAAATATGATATGCTGATAAATTATTCAGCAGGATAAAAAACAGTGTACTATAATCTCAATTTACTTGAAAGTAAAACCATAGGCCAGGCGCCAGTGGCTCATGCCTGTAATCCTAGCTACTTGGGAAGCTGAGATTAGGAGGATCTTGGTTCAAGGCCAGTCTAAGCAAATAATTTGAGAGATCTCATCTCCAAATGAACAGAGCAAAATGGAATGCAGACGTGGCTCAAGTGGTAGAATGCCTGCTTTGCAAGTTCAAAACCCCCAGTTCAAACCCCAGTGCCACTGAAAAACCACAGTAAAGAGATAAGAAAAAAGTGACTGGCAGTAATTGTTGCTGAGTGATGGATTAAAGGTGAGTTTTTCTATTAATCTTTATAATTTTCCACATTCTCTAAATTTCTCATAATTAATATGCATGACTAAAATAGAAAAACAATAAGCATTTGAAACAAAGGCAATCTGAACAGTGTCACACTTAGGAGTATCAAAAAGAAAAATACGTGCTTATTTTATTTATAATTTTTAATCTTTTCTATCCCTTTTTATACTGATACGTGTTGACTCAATTCTGTAGTGTCATTTATCATTATGCTTTCTAAATCTGATACTTTCTAAATTTTGAGCTGAAATTACCAAGCACACTTCCTTAATAGTTCATATCTCACCTGTCACCTCTTTCTTGCATAGACGTAATCTCTTGAAGGGCTGGGATGGTTTGCACAGCCCCTGGGCTTTCAGGAACATTCTGGGTACTCTTTATGCGCTGAAGAAGCAGGGTCAGCAACGACTGCTGCCTCTCCACACTGTCTTCATATTGGCGTAAAGAGTCTAGGAGCTCAGAGAGCTCTTCTGTGGTACCTGCCTCTTTTATTTTGGAAATTTCTGGGAGTTCCTCTTGAAGATTATCTAAAATAATTGCTTCTCGTTCAACCTAATTCAATAAACAATGAGAGAGAGAGAGAGAGAGAGAGAGAGAGAGAGAGAGAGAGAGAGATGGATGAATGAGTAAAATATACACTTAATATTACTATTTCAGGACCTGAAATACATGTTGGCAACCACAATTTGTATACTGTCTGTTTGAACGGTTCTAATGTCATATCCTAGTTCAAAGTAGTATTTGCTCTATAGCTGGGAATATTAGCCCTCCACACACAGAATCCCATAGCTCCCATCTACTGCTCACGTAGATGTGTGATTAAAAATGAATGTTGCTGCCGGGCGCTGGTGACTCACGCCTGTAATCCTAGCTACTCAGGAGGCAGCGATCAGGAGGATCGCGGTTTGAAGCCAGCCCAGGCAAATAGTTCGTGAGACCCTATCTTGAAAATATCCACAAAGAAGGACTGGCAGGGTGGTTCAAGCAGTAGGGCATCTACCTAACAAATGTGAGGCCCTGAGTTCAAACCCCAGTACTGAAAGAAAAAAAAAAAAAAGGCTGGTGGAGTGGCTCAAGCAATAAGAGTGCCTGTCTAGCAAGCATGAGGCTGAAAGTTCAAACTCCAGTGTCACCAAAAAAAAAAAAAAGTGTTGCTGTTGGAGCTGAGGTAAATGCTGTTGAATATTGCAAGTGACTTATTTCCCCTCCAGGTTTCTGTTGGGTAAAGCAGTATGCAAGCAAGATACACATGAGATAGTAGGAATGAGCACCTCCAGACAGCTTCTGGTATGAGGTTGCCTGTGGTTGGATATGGAAGGTTTCCTGCAGGTCTCCTTTCTTTCTTTCATTTCCAATCCCTACAGCTGTAGAGCTAAGCCTGGTAGGTCCTCATGAGCCTGAGCCTATCAAAGGGAAAGTAGCTGAGTGACTGAGCAAGTCACATATTATCAACCACTGGGACGTGCTGAACCCAGGAACATATGACTTACTACCAGGAGGCACAGGCACAGAAATGGTTGGACCATTCTGATTTTGGAGGTAACACGTCATTGTTGCTCAGACTCATTTGTGAGGTCCACTATCAACAATGCTGCTAATGTTGAGGGGTACCTGAAGAAAATGAGGCAAGCCACGAGAGTGGGCTGGGACACATGCTGTCCTTCCAATTGGCCCTGTGACCCAGCAGGGTTCCCAACTGCTTTACTACACCTGAGGACAGGTGTAGATCGGCTCCTCTCCATAGACCCAGCTATGAAATCTGTGCTCCCCATCACCTCAAACCTCAGGGCAGGTGGGTTGGAAGTCTTAGTTCCCAGGCCAGTGGCTATACTTGGACCATGAGATAAGCTTTCACTGGATCACTGTACCCCCTCTTGAGATCAGCATACAAATAAGGGAATTTTGGCAGGGAGAACTGTATAATCCAGGGGTTCCAAATGGGTTGGGATAAAAAGAATGATGTTTATAATCCAGGGCTCAATGGAGCACTGCTCAGCTTCCAGGCCAAGAGACAGATAACTGCAATGGATAAACACAATGACCATGAACCAAAATGTGCAGAACAGCCAAGCCAAGGGCTCAGACCTTTCTTATTCTCCTGTTCCTGTATCCTGGCCTCACTTTCTAAAATAAATCACCTCACAACCATTGCCTGAACTCTACTGTCAGACTCTGCTGTGAAGTTGGTAATTGACTGAAGAGAGGAACTCAAAAAAGGGGAGAACAACTATTACTAAGACAATAATTTTCCTCAAAAGCCAGGCAATTGTTGGATTTGTGAATGCATAAACAAACTTTAGTCCATCCACCGAACAGAACGCTACTTGGGAAGGAAAAGAAAGAACCAAGCTATGCTATGAGCAGTGGCCAGAACAAATCTCAAATGCAGTATGCTTACTGAAAAGAAATTGACATGACAAAATGAAAAACATTACAGAAAAAGAAACAGATTAATAGTTGCCAGGAACTGGCGATGATGGAAGGGATAGACCACAAAGGGGCACAAGGGAATTTTTCAGGGTGATAGAAATATCCTAAATCCTGATTTTGTTGGCAGTCATGTAACTGTATGCAACCTTCAAAACTGAATAAACTTAACACTAAATTTTATTAATTTTGGGGATGAAAGCCCCAAGTCAGCAGAGTACTTGTTATAAGGATTATTCATTTGCTTTTCCACTTTGATGATTTTTCTTGGACATACAATCCTAATAAAATTGGTTACAAAACTTTCAGGTCAATGAGAAAGTAGAGTGGAAAAAAAAAAAAACCCATAGTTGCCCCATAAGCAAATTCAGTAAAAGAGAAAGAAAATCTCAGAACCCACAGAAATAGGAAGAAACAGAACCGGCTTTTGGACTTTTGGTATGAGGGAAGCTTTCTATCACCAATTACTTTGAAGACATGACTTTACTCTAGGACATTATCATCACTGAAGTGTAAAGTCAATATTCTGGATAACTAGAAGTGAGTCATTTTATCAACTACATCCTGTTTAAGGAAATTGGAAGGTGAGATTTAGGGGAGAAAAAAGTTAAGTCAAAAAGTAAATTTATTTTTTAATTTGTAAATTTGTAAGTTGGACACTGAAGTTTTCAAAAATCTACTTACTAAAACCATTTATTCCATAAAGATACTGGATGATTATATTAGTCCATATGTTTCAAAAATAGAATTTCATTCTGTCACACAAAAAGGCACCAACCAGACTAATAGAATCTTACATGGATAGGTCTTCAGACGATGTAATTTTTATAGAATGGATCAGGCTACATTAAAATCATACATCAGGCTGGGACTATAGTTCAGTAATAGAGTGCTTGCCTACCATGTGCAAGGCCTTGGGTATGATCCCCAGCACCAACTACACACACACACACACACACACACACACACACACAAATGTCACGTACAGAGATGCAATTTAAGTTGGATGTCCAGTGGTTGAGTGCAAAGCGTAAATTTCAATCCTCTTATACACTTGTAAACTTGGGCAAGTTATTCAATCTCACCGTGTCTCATTTTCCTCATCTTATAAAACACAGTGCTTAGAACTAGGCCTGGCACACTAAATGCTCACTCTAGTGATTGCTATTTTGTGCTACTCTTTGAAAAATACTTTTTTTTTTTTTGGTGGTACTGGGGTTTGAACTCAGGGCCTCACGCTTGCTGGGCAGGCACTCTACAACTTAAGCCATTCCACCAGCCCCTAAAATAAATTTTATTAGCATATTTTTGTCAAATGTTTATTTGAATAAGGTCTTAATGACTGGGGTCTCAATAAGATATAATTGCAAATGACTATAAAGCAATCGTGGGATAAAATAAAAAGAGTGAAAGCTTTGAATTAGAACTGTCCCTCAACAAGCATTTGCTAAATGCCCACTAAACACAAGGCTGTAGATGGGTAGTAGGATTACAGTGGTGAGTTAAGACGGCCCCAGCCCCAGCTCACAGAGGCTCACAGCTCACTCCATCTCAAGCCAGGGGCCTCTTGTGCCATCACTTAACCTACCAGTGTTTCAGTTCCCCATCTGTCAAAGAGTGGTCATATTGACCTCCTGAGCCCACAGCAAGCAGTCAGTGAGCTCATGTTAGAACTGGCTTTTCAGCCCAGGGCAAGAACTCAGGAAATGGCACCATTATGGATAGGTGAGAACTGGTGCTAGCAGCCCCAACAAAAGTATGATTTACAAAGTTTCTTAGGGTTTCAAGATCCAAGAAATTCTTCACTAGTCAAACCTCACTAGCATCACTGAAATGATATCATTTTCAAGAATATCAAGTTCTTAGCAGGTTACTATGACAATGATAAACATTTCAATCCCAAAGTATGTATTGATTCATTATATTTCTATATGAAGTACATTCACCAGAAAATTTGAAATGAATAAGAAAGAAGGGTTTTCATTTCATGGTCTCATTTATACCTGGCCCTTTGTGAAGTTAGAGAATAAGATAATTTCATGTGATTTTTAATTTTCTTTCTTAACGTACGTGAGGCCTACGCTGTGATTTAATTAGTATCTGTGATTGTTATATATTAAGGAGGTCTTCTTTGAGACAGCTTTTAGAAAGAACATCATAGTTCCTATTTTCAGGTCCACACTTAACAATTATAGTTAATTTCCATAGTTAACAATTGTAGCTAATTTTGAAATTAGTTGGTTATTATGCATTACTGCCTAATTTTAACCTGTAGTGTAATGAATAGAGACGGCTACGCACAGTAAAGAATTTTAAAGCTCAACCCAGCAAACAGTCACCTACTTAGAAGAATTACCAGATACCACTCTCATGAAAGAAACTGAGTAATTTCCTGGAGACTATTTCAGTAGAGCCTGGACTCTATAAACATCTATGTGTAATGCATATGCGATGTACACAAATGGTACCCGTGGTAGACTTGGTTTACACAAAAACAAAGTGAAGCCAGGTAATGTCTATAATCCTAGCTACTTGGGAGGCTAAGATCAGGAGGATCATGGTTTGAAGCCAGCCTGGACAAATAGTTCTTGAAACTCCATCTCCAAAATAACCAGAGCAAAGTGGACTGGAGGTGTGGATCAAGCAGTAGAGCACTTGCTTTGCAAGCATGAAGACCTGAGTTCAAACTTCAGCCCCACCCAAAAAAAAAAAACAAGTGAAGCAATAAAACAAGTACAATGGCACTTGTCTGGGAGCTGCAGGGCGCGAGTGTTGGAAATGCATGCTCACCCCCTCACTGATGAGTTTCCACTCCTGCTTCAGTTCTTCACTCCACATCTCCCACTCTTTGGCAGCTTCCAGCAGACGCAGCCACTTCTCCCAGAGAGCCGACGAGGCGCTGAGCGTGCACAGGCCATCACTCTCTGTGCACCTGCATCTCAGGTGTCTGAGGACCTGTTGCAGTTTCACCAGCTCTTCTTTGGTTGAGATGAGATTTGACACCAAGGCCTAAGAAAGAGAGGAATAGCAGATGTCATATCTATTATTTTTTCTGAAACTTACAAACTATCTTACTGTGAAACAACATATTACATGATCTACTTACCCTTTTGGAAGTGATCTGAGCCAGATGAGAAGTATCTATGTGTTATACTCTGCGTGAATTTGGGGATATGGGGACAATTAACCAAACAGTCCAAGTAAGAATGTGTTCTCCAAGTTAAACACCCTAGAGGTACATTTTGTGATTTTTAATTTGTCTCACATTTTACTCGGTAAGTGTGTCTGCACAATAATTACTGTATTTAGGAGTTTGGTGGGTTTTGTTTTGTTTTTTGGTTTTTTTTGCTTGGTTTTTTTTGTTTGTTTGTTTCTGGTGAATGTTAAGTACAGATGATTTAAAATGTCCTCATCTAAATCCCAATAACATTCTGGGTGTTATGATATATGCCTGTAATCTCAGCACTTGAGAAGCTGAGGCAGAAGGCTAGTAAGTTCGAGGCTAGCCTGGGCTACACAGAGACACCCTATCTCAAAGATAAAGAAACACATAAGTAAGAAACCAAAATGCCAGAGAGTCTAACAGATGAAAATAAGAAAAAACTTAAATTCCTTAGTGAACTAGGGATGTAGCTTGCTCACCATGTGTGAGCGTGGGTTTAATCCCCTGCACCTCAAAAATATAAAATTTTTTGAATAAATATTTGCTTATTTTTGAATAAATAATACCTTAGTGACAGGGTATAAGAAGTAAATGAATGAATGAATGCTTAGTGACAGGGTATAAGAAGTGACCAAAATTCAGAGCTCATGACATACTCAGTGGACAAGAAGGCTGCCAGTGATCCAGCAGCATCCCTCCAAACAGTGGAGAAGCAACCAATAAGGAGAAGATGGTATTGAGGATCATGCTGTGAGCCAACTATTAAACTTCTCAGAGCCACTTCTTTGTTTTTCCCCCTGGCTTGGGGCTTGAACAGTTTTCGCAGTGTCTGAACACTCCTGTGGGTGTAACCAGGATCACCTTCTGCTGCTGGGTTTTTGCCCAGGCTTACGGGGCTCACATGTGACATTACCTTGCTCTGCTCCAAGCGCGCTAATGCCTCCTTATAAGACCCTGGCCGCAGGGACACGGACTGCCCAAGAACCGTTTCCATTTTCCTGAGGTTACTGCAAATTTCCTCTTTCATTTTTGTATAGCATTTGTAATTCTCCAGAAACCTGATGAGGCACAGTTAGAAAAAACATGATATTAAATTTTATTGAACACAATAAATTCTGAACTTCTCAGATTGCACTCTCTACCCTCAGCTGTTAAAAAGGAATATGATGATTTTCTTCTTTTGCTATTCAATGCCTTTCAGCATTTTTATTAACTGCTTATTTCCAAGGGGAACTGCAAATGGCTTTAAGTGCAAACTTGAACAGGCAGATAGGCAGCCCTCCAAACACCAAAACACCAAAATAGGAGACTTCCCTTTAGTAACGTGAAACTGCATTTTTGAGCACTGCTAATGAGCCGTCAATGGGTACAATTCTGATAGAAAACCACTTAGCTTTAAAAATGCTCCTAGCTTTTGATTCCTTAATTCAACTTTTACAATTTACCTAAAGAATTAATCCTAGATATAAGGTTACCCCAAACGTGATAAAATCTTTTCACTCATCAGAGTATGAATTAAAACAGCAAACGCTATGTCTAAAAAAAAAGGCGTACTTAAGTAAATTATAACAAACCATCATATAAAACTGTACAGCAACTGCAATTACTTTTCAAAGTGTTTGTTACAATAAGGAAAAGAGTTAATGTTATATAGTAAATAATTAAACTAGGATATTTTATATTTTATATATAGTGTAACATTGTGATATGTTTTTAAAAACACAGTATAATTACATATACCAAATAGACATGGCCTAAATCTCTCAGTGAGAATGATTAAAAATTCTCTTACCAGGGGCTGAGAGTATAGCTACAGCTAACACAGGCAAAGCCTTGAGTTCAGTTCCCAACACACACACACGCACACACACACACACACACACACACACACACACAGTATCAAATACAGTAAGACAAAAACAAAAACTGAATGAACTTCAAAGAACCAAGGACAGAGACTGCAGGACGGAAACACAGAAAGCAGCCAAGCTGCAAGGCCAGTTCTACGTCTGGAGGGCGTCTGCTGAATCCCACTTTTCTTTGCTTCTTCCTAGAGTGTGGGAGACAGATGACAATGTCTGGAGTCAAGCCCTGGATGGGTGTCTAATGAAAACCCCTTAATAAAAGTATCTGTAATGCATGTAAAGGACGGTTTCTAAGATACAGAATAATCCTACAATTTAATAAGGGAAGATGGACAACCCAACAAACTTGGAGAAGGCTTGAGTAAGTATTCCATAGAAGAGGAAATATGAATGACTGATGAACATCCAAAAGAGAGAGCAAATGCAATGGCAGAAATAGAAGTACAGATTAAATCGCCATGAGACTACCCAGTGCCAAGTGTCGGCAGGGACATGGGACGACTGGAATATTGGCGTGTGGTTGGTTTAAGTGGAAGTGGTGAGAAAGCATTTAAAGCTAAAAATTGAAGATTTTCATACCTGTGGACCTGGGTGGTCACACTCAAGGAAAACTCTTGCATTTAAAAACGTTCCTAGTAGCACTGCTTGCAAAGGCAAAAAACTGGAAATAATACTAATGTCCATCAGTAGCGTACACGGGTTGTACACAGACAAGAATTCGAATAAACCTTAGGTCATAATGATCAGCTTGAAAAAATGAAGTGATAGAATATACAGGCTAAGGCTTAGTTAAAAATTACAGTTCATGCCTGTACTCCCAGCTATTCAGGAGGCAGAGATCAGGAGGACAGAGGTTTGAGGCCAGCTCAAGAGACCCCCATCTCAGCATAACAAGCCAGGGTGGCCCATATGTGCAGAGGTTATAGGTTGTCATAGGTAGGAGGACAGAGATTCAGACTGGCCCTGGGAAAGCCTAAGACCTTATCTGAAATAAAACAGAAAAGGAAGCTGTAGGCATGGCTCAAGTAGTAGAGCACTTGCCTCACAAGCACAAGACCCTGAGTTCAAACCCCAGTACCACCAATGTATCTATATTTATTAAACACCTGGGCTTGGTGGTACAGTCCTGTAATAATCTCAGCACTCAGGAGACTAAGGCTGGAGGATCAGAAGTTCAATGCCAGTCTATATAGTGAGATCCTGTTTCAAAAAAAAAAAATCATGAAATCAGGACACACAAACACACAGCAAAAATAAATTGAAAAGCAAGAAAGTGGTAAATAAAAATTCAGGATGATGGTTATTTCTGAGAGGAGAGGAAAGGAACATACAAGAGAATTCAAACCCATGATGGTCATCTTTGAAATTTTAGGTAGAAAGCTGTTAATTTTATCATCATTCTTTATACTCTACACATACTTTGATAAGCATTCTGTTGTATGTACCCAGTATTAAGCAAGAAAGATTTAAAACACAATAAAATCTGTACCATGGTTTAGTGATTTTTTATTTCCTTTTCCGTACTGTCCAAATCATCTGTAATGCAAGCCTGTTAATGACAGAGGAGAGCCCTCTATACTCTCAAAGCACAGCCAGGAAGAAGACTCACCTTTCCACTTGGGCCTCCTGCACGTGAGCTGCAGCCTTCAAGGCTGAGTTCTTAGAGACCAGCTCCTGTAACACGCACTTGAGCTGCACGCTGGCCTCCGGGCTGACTATGGCTCCCAGCTTCTCGGTGAGGTCCTGGATGTCAGCCATCGTGGATTCCAAGCCTTCTAGTTTCCCACGAGTCATCGCCAGTGATTCTTGGAGATTGTGAAGATCCATGCTGCGGGATGCAAGGATGGCTTCGAGGGAGCCGATGGTCCCCACCGCCCTGGTGACGGCTTCATGGTAGTGTGTTAGGTTTTCATAGGCACCATTCAGGACGCTCTGGTGGGCAGGAGATTAAATGCTGTGATGAAACTGTCAAGCCTGGGGGATTTTGGTCATTCATGAATTTTTGATGCACGTTTATAATATGCCTCTGAATCTTATCAGAGCTGCCTCCTTGTATTTACAGTCTGGCAATATTACACCAGTGTTTAAAACCTCTTGCTTGCATAAAGAAAAATTCTTTCCATATTTTCTAAGAAATTTACACTAAACTGAAAATAACATCTCATGAATCATGTCTATTGATAAATGCTGTGGAATTCTTGCATCCGACTATGAATTAAATAAAATGATGTATGGGATCTTTTTTTTTTTTTTTTTTTGGACACAGGGTCTCCCTATGTAGCTCAGGCTGGCCTTGAACTCTTGATCCTCCTGTCTCAGCTTCCCAAGTGCTGGGATTATAGATGTGTACCAGCATACCTGGTTAATGTATATAATCTTAATTATCTATGAACAAATGAAGACAACATACCAAAAAAATTCAGCTCTTTTGTGTTGAGATTAATGGTTCTATCACTAACTTCAGTTTAGGTACAACTCCAAATGACCCCAGCCTTCAGTCTGGTTGTTAAAATAACCAATAGTTAAAATAAATGACTTTAAAGGACCCTTCCTGTCCAGTTTCTAACCAGACTACTTAGGGAATTTAAGTAAATTGCTTCTTGAAACTATGAAAAGCAGCAGTGGTGCTCGAATGATTCAATATTTGTTATGAACCTGTTTAACTAACATATTGGGATCCATTATATAACTTTACATTTCTGTAATACATCTATCAAAATATTATCTAATAACAACTCTTTGAATTAGAAAAGGAAGTTAATCTCCCCGTTCTATAAACTGAATGAAGTCTCAAACTTGACAACAGTGCATAAGCATTAGATACAGTACAGAGTGAATGATGTCCAAGACAAATAAGGGGGGAGTGTGTTGGAGTTATTCCCCAAAAGTCAGCAACAATTACTACTCTACTCTGCTGTTGGGTCATGAAAGCAGCCATAGCCAGTCTGTTAACACATGGGCACAGCTGTCTTCCAATAAAACTTTATTCATAAGTAAGTGAGACACTATGGGCAGGACTAGGCCCATGGGGCTTAATTTGATGACTGTGTTCTAGAATCAGACAAATCTCAAATGAATCCTCATTCTGTTCTTGCTACAAGACCCTGAGAAAAATCTTCATGTGCTTCAACTTCAGTTTCTTTATTTGAACTTTACTTAGGTTTATTTTATTTTCCCAGTGCTGGGAATCAAACCTTGGGCTACACACATGCTTGGCAAGTGTGCCATGAGCTACACCCTAAGCCCTCAGTTTTCTATTGAAGAGGGCTGTCTTCTTCCCTCCATGCTTCTCCCATCACATCTTACTGTCTCTAAAGACAAGGCAGACAGTTTTATTCTGACTTCAACAGGGGCTATGATGGACACAGAAATACAGATGTCACATGTGTCCTTTTACAAACTATAGGCACTGAATTTCAATGTAGAGTGAGTCACGATTATAAACGAGCATTTTGGAAAACAGCTCTCTTCTGTTGAGAATTCTCCTACAGAAACTGTAACTTCTCTAGACCTACAAATATTACCTAGAGTACAAAAAAAGTCATGAATAAAAGTAGCAGCATTAAATGGTTACTTTAAGAAAAGAACTTACTGTGCGTAACTCAATGCTTTTGCTAAGCTGAGTCCAAAGATCTTCAATGTCATGTAATTTTGTCTCCACATCACTAGTGTCAGAAGAGTCTCCTTCTCTCGGTTTTTCAATCACACTTGCTGCTTTAATAAGATACATTTCTGCCTGAACCTGTTGTTGAATTGCTTCACAGTTAGCCTGCTCATTTTGGACATGTTTAATTTCCAAATTTATAAGTAAAGGCTGCTGTAACTGAGATTGTATCTGACTTAAAACATGCAAGGAATTTTGTAATTTGTCCCGAAAATTCTTTTCATCCATTTCTTTTGATTGGAATTCTAGCACCACGTTTTGGAGGACCTTGTGTAACTGATCATTTTCTTCTGTGTTCAGTTTCAGTTGCTGTATTTCTTTCTCTTTGAATGAGTCATCAAAAGCCTCATTTTCACTTACTTTCTTTATTATCTCATCGTAGACGCACTTGGCTTTCTCAATTCTCTGAGTCAAAATGTGTGCGTTGAGCAGACGGCTTTCTGGTGAAGTACTGGGAGCTTTCAGTACTAATTCAGCCTTTTTCTTAATTTGCAAATCCATGGCCTTCACTTTACTTAATGAAGCTTGATATCTGCCATGTTCTACCATCAATGTGTTCAAACGCTTAATTTTTTCTTCAAGATCCTTTTCTTTCTCAACGACTTGAGTTTGTAATTGTTCAAGTTCTGAACCATTCCACTTCAGTCCTATGTAGTTATAGACTCCTTGAAGTTCCAACATTCGCAAGAGGCTGCATCGAATACCAGTGAGTTTGTCCTTAAGATTATACAAATCCTCTATTTCATCTTGATTTGTTTCTAGACTGAGCAGTGGTTCATTGTGCTGCATACTGTTGATGGCATTCTGAAGCACAGATGTTTTTTCATGGTATTCTCTGTAAGAACTGATCTTTTGTTCTACTTCACTGCATTGACTCTGAATGAATCTTTGTGCTCTGTTAATTCTCATCTGAATATTTTTCAACTGGTCATCCAGGAAGAGTCTTTCAAACACATTTAGATCCTTACAGATGTCTGGTAGTTCCTGGAGCTGTGTGGAGATGACACCCTCAATTTCTTGCAGCTCCTTCTGGGATGCCTTCAAGGTGACATGGTGACATTCCAGGTCAGCTTCAGTGCAGGCTGTTTCCATTTTGGGAATTACCAGTGCTTCACTCCCTTGAAGGGTAACCTGAGCCTTCCTTATTATTTCAAAAAGTTTGCTTCTTTCTTCCAACTTAAATTCTAGTTGTTGTGACCTCTGAGTTGATTTTAAAACTAGCATTTGGTATTGATTCTGTAAGACCTCCAGGAGGTTACTTAAGTTCTCATTCTCGGGTGCTGTCAGGCTAGGGGTGACATCTTTGATCTCTTCCACCAGAGAGTCCATGGCTGGCTGCTTATCCACAATGTCATCATGCATCACCTTGCATTTTCTGATCTGTGAAAGGATGTCATCTGGGAGAAGGGAAATGGGGGGGCTGGGTTCACCCAACAGTTTCTTTACCCAGAAGAGGGTCTCCTTCACCTTGTTCTTTACGCCGCACTTTTTAATCTGATTTTCCACCTCTAGGTTTAATGGCTCCAGGGCCTCCAATTGCTTCTTCAAATTATTCATTGCATCTTCCAAAATCTTCTTTTCTTTTTCTCCCCAAATTCTCTTCATCTGAAGCTCAGCTTGCCCCTTTAAAACAGAAAATCCATGCCTGAGTGCCTGGAGCTCAGCGGCCATGGCAATGATGCTTGAACTCTGTCCCTGTTTTTCTGGGGAGTTCAGTCTTAACAGTAGACACTGCTGCTGCTGCTGCAGAGAAGCCTCAGTGTCGTGGGCTCTGCTTACGAGGGAGGTAAACTCCTCATGTTCCATGGCTTGCTGAGAATACTTCCTTTGAGCCAGTCGTTCCACCTGCTTCCACACATGGTCAAGGTGTTCCACCTGGCTTTCCAACAGCTTGTTGTCCATGTCACTCAGATGGCTTGATAAATTCTTCCACTCACTTTTAAGTTTGCTCAAAGAACCTTTCTCTTCTTCTACTGATCCAAGGAACTTCTTAATTTTGTGCACATAGGCTGTACTGTCCAATGGTCCCCTAGAAAAAGAATAAAAGGAGTGCTTTTTAACATTTCAGGTGGACTATACATTTGCACATGGTTAGATATCATTAAAAAAGTTAATTGGTGAATCCACAGAAAATATTAGGTTGTCTACAAAAAGTACTTCAACCATAAAATGAAAATCAGATTCTTGTTTACTATGGCTTTCTGTTAATGTGACAATAAAGAAAACTTACTACAAGTATCATAAAGACAAAGAACCGAAGGGAAAGAGTGAAATGTGAAGAGAGTAATGACATAAAAATACTCTGTAAACCGTGTAAAGCACTTGTACAAAGGTTAGTCCAAGACTAAGAGAAATTACCATATCCAGCCCCTGCTACTATCTTCCCAGCAGTAATGATAACTTATGATTTGAGTATAAAATTGTTTTCAAGAGATATTACTGACAATAAACCCCATTTAGATGTAAGTATAAAATAGACCTTTCCAATGAGAAAATGTTTACATATTTAGACTATATTTACTACCATTTGTCATTATTTTCAAAGCCTAAAGCAGTGCAAATATTTTAAAAGAAACCATTAAAATACATATTCATTACATACCAAACTATTTTAACCAATTATGCTGTTACTAAACAACTGCATACGTGTTTCTCATGGCTTAGAATAAATTCTTGCCAAAAAAGAATGTTGAGCTCCATAGAACTTAAATATATTTTACAGATATTTATACTGTGCATTGTTTAATAAGTTAACATCTTAAATATACTCAGTAATATATGTGCTTTTAGCATGAACATACCAGTTTTCTTAAATGGCTTCTTCTGTGGTCTGAATGCTTGTGTTTACCCAAAATTCACATGTTGAATCCTAATCAAAGCTTAATGGTATTAGGAAGTAGGACTTCTCAGGAGATGAGCAGGTCATGAGGGTGGAATTTTATGCAAATGAATAGGTTTAATTGTCCTAAAAAAAAGAGACCCCCCAGAAAACTGCCTCCCCTGCTCCTTCAGCCCTGTGAAGACATGGCTCAGAGAAAGAGAAAGTAGGCCCTACCAGACACTAAATTCCCTAGCATCTTGGTCTTAGATTTCCCAATTTGAGAACTGTAAGAAATAAATTTTTGCTGTTGATAAGTCATCCAGTCTGTGGTACTTTGCACTAGTAGTCCACAAAGACTTAAACAGTTTCCAATGAAATTAATCTCTAAAATATGGTTTTAAAATCAATATCCATCAACAGTGTAAACTCAACACCGTGGCCTTGTCCAAGGCAGTGAAAACTGTACTTGAATAAAAAGAATGCAAGTCCTAAATTCTTATACTTACAATTTTAGACTTTCCTTTTCTGCCAACAAGGCTTTCAATGAGGACTCAAGGGCAGCAAGGTGTTCTTGAAAGCCATCAAGGAGACAATACTGGCATTCTTTATTTTTCTTCAAAGTAGTCAGTGCCTGAAGCAGATTGTCCAAGTGGTGTACTGGGGACCCCGTGTTGTGGAGAACCAAGGCACTTGTTTCTGATTGGCTGAGACATTCAGATTGGTCCTGGAGTTCAATGGCTGCTTTCTTTGCCTCCAACTGGGTGTATAATTCCTAAAAACAAGTCACACAAATCAGCAAATATATAATCACTTGTTCATTCTCTTTTGTTCCTTTCCTCTTTCCTTCAGCTAACACATCCTATCCTAAGATATTTCAAATTCCTCATTTATATGCAGGAAAACTAAGGTCATGACATCTTCAAGGTTGTTTTCACTAGAATAATGTTAAAATCTAGACCAAAATCTACCAATGCCTGGGCATTTAAAGACCCTATAGTCCTAAAAGTTTCTGCATTTTTATAAGGAAAACTTATCTTACTTTTATTACTTACATATATCACCTTTCTTCCCTATGTAAATGTGTCTAAAATAGTAGGGATAATTTGTAATTTCATTTTTAAAAACATGGCTCTGTACTGGATTTTCAAGTAACTTTATATAGCTAGAAGTACATAAATACATTGAAATAGCATATAAACACAGATATAAAAACAAAGGAAGACCCCATCACACTGATTGTTTAGGAAAGATAAAAAGAATTTTAGAAGTCAGAAGAATAGTTAAAGCTATGAAAAGGAAGGATGACATGAGAGAATCTCCAGATTTTGTTACTAAGTTTTCAGGAACTTTGCAAAAGAGAAAGAAGACTAATGTTCATTAAACTCTTCTACTTTGCAAATGGAAAGATTTATACAACTTGCTGATTAGTACATAATTATATAGTTACCACACTGATCGGTAGGCAAAGGTTAAGTAAGACTTTTCACTCTGTGCAAGCAAGTTTTTGGTCATTAAAATATATTGTATTGCACGGGATAAACGATGCAATCATGCTGCCAGTGGTTTTCATGTTTCCATACCTCTATCTCTTTTAATTGTTCACTTCTCAACATAACAGCTAATTGTAAAGGTTGGTTTTGCAGCTCATTGACTTTCTGCTCGTCTTCAGTGCTTCTCAGGCTTTCTTGAGCATTGACAGAAAGCTGTTTTGACAAAACCATTTCCAAAGCCCAATTCTGCAAACATAAAAAGATTAATTGCTGAATAGTCTACCTTCCAAATGAATCATTTTTGTTTTTCTTGATAAAAACACTCCAGTTACTTCTATTTGACTAAATTCTACTCAGATTAAAAACCTTAAGGAAATATATTTGGCATTACCAAAGATGACTTTTTCCATATGATAATTAATACCTGTATTTGGTACTCCCCCCAAAATGAACCATCTTTGGCAAGATAATACAGGCTCTTGTGTTGCTCCATTTTATATACAGCTCAAAAGGGTGAGGCAGAAGGATCATGAGTTTAAGGCCAGCCTGGGCTATGCAGTGAGATCCTATCTCATAACAAAAAATAACAATAGAAACAAACAAATAATATACACATATAGTCTTAAAGAAACAAAGCAGATATGGAAAAGTCCCAAAGTTCCCAAATTTCTACTTAGCATTTACTACAATACAGAGGACAGGGCAAACAATAAAACACTCATTGTTAGCATAAAATAAGTGGGTAAGTGGAGGAAATGCCAAGATTTCACTATTTTGAGAATAAATTATATCCTAAACCAAGTACAATAAGAATTACAACCTGGGAAAGCAGAAGGAGTTCTAAGTTGAGTGATTTCATCCTTTCTGAAAGCTTTAACAGCCCACAGTTCTCACTAGGACACACAGGGCACTTGCTCTCACTTGTTTACTCTTGACAAGGATTTTTGAGCACTCTCATGTGCCAGGCACCACGCAGCAATTTTTTTGGGAGGGGGTGGAATGGGGACTGATGCTGGGGATCAAACACTTACCTAACATTTTCGAGGCCCTGGGTTCAATCTCCAGAACTTACAAAAACCAAAACAACAAAACAAACAAAAAACCCTCCACATATTGTAATGTTAATAACAGGGAAATGATGCAGGAATACAAGGTAACTTTCTGTATTTTCTTTGAAACTTCCCTGTAAACCTGAAGCTGTTCTAAAACTAAAAGTTTACATAAATAAAACAAACACCATCCAGAGCCTCCCCAGTTCTAACTGGAAAGAGAATTCAGCTGTCCAGGGTTCCTGGTGTTGAAGAGACTCTTAGTGCAAGTCTCTTCTTTGAGAATACTTCATGGAATTGAGACGACTTTGCATATGTCCTCCAGTTCTGAGAATTTAATGCCCACAAACTCAAGTGAAAGTCTACATGGAGGGCAGCATTGAAGGAAGAACGAAGGGCGCTAAGAGGAAGGAGAAAAGACCACATCACAGACGTCACTAGCAGGTTCCTAGGGCTTTGCCTATGGGCCACAGTCACAGTCACTTGCTGGTTACTGTTCCCTAGCAAATTGCCACAAACGTACCTGGGGACAAGAGCCCAGGCTAAAAGCCTTGACTGGAGGTCCTGGAGAACTTCATCTTGTATTAGCTATCACTAAGGATTCAGAATGCTTGATCTCTTACCTGAAGAACCAGGGCCTGGGGACCATCAGTAAGCAGGAAAACACTAGGTACATTGAAATGACTACCTTTGGTGTCAGAAAAAGTATCACTAGACACTTGGGCTTGAACATTTTCAGTGTCAACCCCAAAGCCATTTTCTACCTTGGCAGAAAATCCACCAGAATCCCTCAAATGAACATTTCAAATTTAAAAGCCAACTTTCCTTTGCTCATGTCAGGAAGGAAGGAACCAGACTCAGGCCCTGACTGGCTCCTGGAAAGTTCTTTCATCACCTGTCATTCCTGCTCACCACTGTTGGTGATATTTTAGTTGGATTTTACAAGCTCATTTGAAACACTTTTAAATTACGAAATACTTTGGGCATATATAAAAGAATAAAACATAACACATTACTGAAAACACAGTGTTACCATTTTCTATATTTATAATTTAAAGTCCAGCCCTTATCACTTTTCAGCTCTTCTTCACCAGACTCAACCTCTATTCTAAAGTTCATTTGTTCACATTATTTAACTTTTACTACATATTAGAATTCATGTAGTATTATTTTATTTGTTTTTAATTTTTTTGGCATTATTAGGTTTTGAACTCAGGGCCTTTAGTAAGTGCTGTAACCACTTAAACCAAATCCCCCGCCCTTTTTTTCTTTATTATTCAGGTAGGGTCTCACTTTTGCTTGGGGCCTCAGACTGGGATCCTCCTATCTCTGCCTCCTGTGTTACTGGCATGTGTCACAAAGCCCGGTCCTGTTTTAAATTCTTATAGAAATTGTAGTCATGTATGTATCATTTTATAACTTATTTGTTCCACTCAGTGGTATGTTTTGAGATTTATCCACATTAATAGGTATAAATCTAATATAGTCATTTTACCTATCTCTCTGGAGACCCTGCGCTACGTGGTGAATGAACAGATATGACTTCAGTCACCTGTTAGACCATTATGGACAAGAAAAGTTTCCATGTCTTCCTTCACAGATAAAGCAGTGACACATCCTCTTATACACGTCTTGCACATGTATGAATTTCTTTAGGATATTTACCTAGAACTGAAATTACTAGTCACAAAACGTGATCCTTCAGATTATCAATACATACTGATTTGTTCGCCAAACTGAGTTACACTTTCCCCTCCCACCAGTGTGCAAAAAAGGCAAATCAATAACAGTGTCAGTATCCTTTCCTCATTCAGGTGATGGTCCCATTAACACGGTAACATTGTGACAGCCAGACCCCTAAATCCAGCCCTTGTAATCTGCCAACAACAGGGGACAGAAGTCATACCTGCTCTAGTGCACACATTTCTTCTGTAACACCTTCCAATACAAAGAGGTGAAAAAACAGTTCTAATCCCAAGCATCGTTAGACAAATTCAAAAGAGAGAGCAACAGCCCGAGGCTCCCAATTTCCCTTAGTGTAAGTTTCTTAGTAGACGGCTACCACGTTACTGTGACCCGTGAGGCATCCGTGACTCAGTCAGCCACGCCCACCTCTCCGGCTCATCTCTGTCATTCTTTGCTGCCCTCTACCCCTGTGCTCCAGCCATCACGCTCTTACGCAGCGGCTGAAACTCCTCCTGCTTTGTCCCACCATTTCCCCTGTCTAGAACCATCCCCACACCCAACCCTGAGCTCTGCTAATCCAGATGACTTGCCTATCTCTGTTCGTTTCGAATGTGATTAGCTGAAAAAGGCTCTCTCTGTCCCTACCGTCTAGGTCAGATTGCTTTGTGAAAGGCTAACACGGAGCTGGGTTCCTTTCTTAATTTCCACAACTACACTCTCATTAGTAATAAGTTGATCCGTGTTTGTCTGCTTGCCTCCAGACTAGAAGTGCTGTGAGAACACAGACCATGCCTATCTGAATCCTCATTGATCAAGCTTTGATTGAATGGATATAGAAATTAATTCAAGCCAGAGGAACAAGTAAGAATATTTTACTGAGTCTCCTATTGTCAATAACTTGTGAGTTATGAAGAAGCATGGAAAGAAATTGAGGACCTGTCAGTCTAGCAGTTATTGATCAGACATTGGTTAGGAATGGCAGAAATAGGGTTTGGGTGGGGCTGAAGGAAACCAGCTACCCATGAGGGCTCCAAAGTTCAGGTAGCACAGTAGTATATTCAAGGCTCTAAAAGATGACTTAATAAAGAAAATCTATTCGAATTTGTTGAACTTCACATTTCTAGAACTTATTTGGACCCCAATTTCCCATCTACATGACACATTTTGTAAAACAGTGAGGTTGAGTTTTGAGCACCAGATTGGACCTATTCGGAGGACTGAGTTCTCATCCCATCCTTGTTGGACTCCAATTCCCCTGGCCTGAAAATAAGGATTAAGACAGAAATTTAAAATCTTTCACGCCTAGATTTTAGGACCTCGGAGCCTGTTCCCAAACACACATTGCATACAGATGGTGATGACATGGACACCATGTAAGTCACTTAAATTGTAAAGGAATAAATCTTGAATTATGAAAAATACCTCTAGAGAGAGAAGCAAGACTTGAACACTAGCCAGAGAGAGCAAGGGAGTATGCTTTAAAGACACAGTGCACACGGGGCCCACTATGCACCCTATTATGGAGAGATACAGAAAGAGATTGACAGGAATAGATGTAGAATAGAATTGTCTTTTTCACTGAATCACCAAGAAAAACAACATCAACGATAAACCTCAACTACCCCAGAATGGAAAAACCTCTCCAGTAAGTGGGTGTCCTTCCCTTCTGGTCCTGTCTCAGGCCTCCTTCCTGCTGGCTTACCCACAGCTGGAAGCCCATGCATTTCCTCTACGTGTGCAATCATCCATCTTCTGGAATTATCTACAGATGCCTTCTCAAACATCAAACTATAAACACTCAGAAATTTTTAAAAAAGGACTAAAAAAATGATTCGGAAATACTAACAATTACATGCAATGACAAGGAAGTTAAAGAATAAGTTAGAGAGAAGGTTTGGGAGTTTTTTTAAAGCAATTATGTCACCAAGATTGTAACTTGGGAAGACCAATAAATACCAGTTAAGCCAAAATGTTGCTTTATGAATTTTTTAGAAAAATCGTAACTTAAGAATGGATGATTTTTCCCTGTTTTCATTCTTTGTAATTTCCCTAAAATCCTAAGTGGCTAGGCAATCCTTACTCTTTACCATATCCACATAACAAGGTGGAGAAAGAAGGTAGTTCTGCCTGTTCATGTTTAAAAACTCTTAAGAAATTCACATCTATACAAAGATGCAGTATGCTAACAGGTCATTAGACTAAAATGTGTGACTTCATTTGCCTTCTGCCTGCCTTAACATCTCCAGTGGTAAAGAAAAAATTAACCAAAGGTACAACCTAAACTCTCTTCTAAGTTCACCTATGTGAAATTGTTAGTAATGGATTCAAATGTACACATGCTATTTCCATGCAATTTTTGGAAAGTCTGATCCTACTTTCAACAAAACTCTCAGATTAATGTATTTATTATATTAAAGCAGAAAAAAAATTAAAACTTTCTAAAGTTCTTCTGGCGACTATTTAATATAATCTGGTAAAAGCTCCTCTAGATTTCAAAAAGGCCTGAGAAGTGAGCATTAATTAGGTATTTGATTAGTATTAGAACAGCTAGCAAAAAATTGAGAACACAGAATTGCTCTCAATAAACGCTTTTAATGATTAAGTGGTTATTTTCCTTATTACAATAACTTTATTTACATTTTTAAAATTTTGTTTTGTTTTCTTTTCTGAGGTTGGGTGTTGCTACATTGCCCTCAGACTGTATGTGCAGCCACAGACCCTGGTTTTATTTTACTAGTTTTAGATTAATCCGATATACAATTCAATAAATTGCTCTTTCATGTGTTTTTTGTATTATAGTGAGCTGTCTAAGTCCCTGACACTGAGTCCCAGCAATTGTTACATTACACCTGCATTTTATTTGTCTATCCAGAGGCTTGACCTTTGATCTCTTTCGTAGCCGATACCACTCTTGCCCTTACATAATCCAATGTTATGTAATGCTGCAGTCTGATACTACATAAAAGTAAGCATAGCCAGTACTTACAGTAGAAAAAACAAGAAATTGATTTTAAAAAATCCATTTTGTAAATTCCACAATGCACACCCAGCACAATTAAAAAATTAAAAATTAAAAAAATTCATGTTAAAAGAACAAATGATAAAGTGTTACTAGAGAATTAAAACTAGCCTTCTATAATCCAGACTTATGAAATGTGAAGACTTAAATCTCAAATTTCTCTGAAGAAAAAAATCATTTTAAACTATCACAAATTATCAATAACTCATCATTTAAGTAAAGCTTAATAAATTTTAAAAACATCGTTGAATGATGATTTTTAATGCAGTTTTTAATGTACTCTACTGAATTTGTGGGGTTCATGGTCATAATGGATCTGAGCAGTTAGGTTAGAAGTTTTTAGGGAACTAACCCCCTTCAGCAATGCCATGTGTTAAGTCTGTGCCCCTCAACTAGCAAAAACCCTTGTTCCTTCCTATTATTGCTTATACTCTCTCTTCAACAAAATTAGAGATAAGGGCAAAATAGTTTCTGCTGGGTAGCGAGGGGTAAATGGGGGGTAAGGGAGGGGGTGGGGGGAAGGGGGGAGAAATGACCCAAACATTGTATGCACATATGAATAAAATAAAAATTAAAAAAAAAAGTCTGTGCCCTCCCTTGCAACTGATAGAAAGCAGGAAGGTATTTTTCTTTTTTTACTTATTAATTCCTCTAATAATACTGTTCGGAAAGTTTCTTTTGCATATATAACCTCAAGAGTCTCACCTATGGAGGCTTTAATCTTTTCAACATATTTCCGCAGTAATGCCTAATATGGGATTTATAGTGGGACTTTTCTCATGGCCAGAGAAATGTTCTATTGGTATTTAACCTTGTTTTATACATTTCTAGAAAATTCTATCTGGTTCTTTTAATCTTCCACAGTTCTGTTTCAGGAACACAAAACACATGTCTCTTCATTCCTATCAACTATATATTCCACAAAAAGCTGATAAAAACTTGAGGTAGGATAGAGCAGGGAAAAAGAGGCATGGAAAACAGCAGCCAGGAATTCAGAAATAAACATTGTTATTAATGAATTGCTTGATTAAAAGCACACAGGCAGTACTTTTTTTGCTTTAGGTTTCACACTCCCTTACTAAGCTGAAACATATAACAATAAGTTTAAAAGAAGAGGTAGCTCTCTCTCCCTGACCTTGCCTGACCAAATAATTAGTGTGCTTTGGGAAGTAAGGGAGAATATCTTAAAGAAGGACACTTATCCTAGGGATGGAAAATTGGTAAAATGACTTCTTTGATCACGAGAGTGTTTGCAAAGGAAAATATTTATTTCCAGGATGGACATGGGTCTTGAAGGAGCATCTGACAAAAGGCATCCTTTGTTGAGCGGGATGCTCATGGAAAACAGACATCTTTGTCATCATGACCTAGATTTAGTAAGCTGACCAGACTTGGTATCTCTGGGACCAATTGATAATGTCAAAACAGAGTAACAGCAAGAAATGACTGAACGTGCCACATGTCCAAGACAAAGGGGAGCACTCACCCTAAGGCAAATTTAAGTCAACTCCCATCCCATTTTCCCACCATAAATACCATGGTGTTGAAGACTTGAAGCACCCCTCATCACATGTGCCCACACCTGTGTCAAGATTATGTACAATTCTTTCCTTTCCTTTGCTTTACTAATAAACTTTCTTGGTTTTTACCTTGATGTGTCCTAAAATTGTTTTTTGTGAAAACATCACTAACTGAGTACCCAAGGGCCAGGTGGAGACCTTCTCCCTGGAGCATCACCATTTTCAGTACAAACTCACACCTGAAGTCTGACTTTATTACTGTCCCTCTGCACCGTGGTCTGTAAGACGGAGGCAGCCTGCCAGGGAGACACTTTGAAATACAGTTTAGTGGGCAGCCCCCTCTTTGTGCCTTTGCCATTTCAATCTGCAATCCACATGTACCCATTTGGATGTTTAGAAGGAAATCAAGAAAACATTATTCTTCCTTGTCCTCAGGGAGACTGAGGAATCAGGACACTGATATTTTCACACTAAATGCTCTGACAACATCTAGAAACATATTTGCAGCAGAGGGTTAACAGAAGAAGAGAAAGAAAAGAACCTCTTCCTTCCAACACACTCTGATTTTATGTATAAAATCAACTGAAAAAAAAGTTGACTCTTGGATTTTTTTCCTGAGAGAATGGGTGAAGCACATTTTCTTTGCTTTTGCCTTTTCTAATTTGCCTTTGTGCTCTTGACCCAAGAAACTCTATCTGATTGCACATCAGTGAGAATGATGAGCCTAATTTGATGACTGACATTTTAACAGACTGAACAGTAATATTTCACCGCTGAAATCTGGACCGTTTTCTAAGGGCTCTTTTTACAAGTGAGCTTCATGAATAGCCAGCACTTTGAGGATTTAATTATGAAATCAGAATGCTTGATTCATGACTCTTCAGAGCGTCAGACCTCTTCACACTCAGGCTCGACATCTTAGCACAATCTCCAGCTCTTACCTTGGTTACTTCCCAGTCTCCCTCCAACTTCTTCACTGAGAGCTGAGTGGGCTCTGGCACGTCACGAGTACCCTGCGTCTCTTCACTTGGCAGAGCAAACTTCTCATCCTTTTCTGATAAACATTCTGATTTGAGGAGGCTGTTGAGACAGTTTTCAGTCTCCTGCTTAGCAGATTCAATTCTGCTTTCCAAATCCTTTTGTTTATGCTTAAGTGATTTTATATCATCTTTAATAATCTTCTGTCCCACGGGAGATGTGTTTTGCTCGATGGATTTTGCTAATGCTAAAATCTTCTTTAATAGGTCATCTTGTAAACTGAGTCGACTCTCTAGTTCCTATGAGTGGAGAAAAGATTGCTAGAAAAAGTTTCTAACTCTTCTTGTGAGAAGTGTTCATTGGCTTTTGTAAATCACAAAGTATTCTGCTTCACTAGTGGAAAGCATTATTTAAAAAAATGATCAAGGCCTACCACAAAGAAGAAACGTGGGGTAAACCAGTGTAGCTCCCACATCAAATTCTCAAACAGATTTTATAAGGTACTAGGATGACTGCAACAGGTCATACAGAAAATGTTCTCCCATTGGTTCACAAAATAAGGGAGTCAGTCAATAGCTATTTGCCTGCTATATGCAAAGTATTAAAAAGAATCAAACAACAATTTAGAATGTGTCCACATAAATCTAATGCTAATATTTAAAATTCAGATCAATGATTTGTGTGTGACAAGAAATCAATCTACCTGGCATGCTATCCCGAAAATTCTAGACCCATAAAAAGGTGAAGTACTTTCATATTACTGCTGAAATGGTCACAAGGGGGACTATGCAGTATTTATTGATCACTTACCTAAAAGACTAGAAGTGTTCAGTCATTTATTTGTTTATTTATTCATTCAACTAACCCAGGATAGGTTTTGAAGTTATGTAAATGAGTAAACTATAGTCCCTTCAAGTTCCTACAGTCTGGTGGCACAGATACAGACATAAACAAGCAATGACAGAAAATGACTGTCAGAAGAACTATGCTAGCAAATTTATATAGGACAATGAAACATTTGAAACTGGAAGAAAGGTGCTCCAGTTCCTTGGGAAATAGGCAACAGAGGTGGCAACAGTGGCTGGCAGGGAAACCATTCAGAATTCTAATTCAGGGACCTCTGAGATGAGGGCTGGTTCTAAAGCAGCAATAATGGGCTGATGTGGGGAAGGAAGAAACCTAAAGCTTTCACTTGCTCACTTAAATTAAGCATATTCACTTTCACCTTGTTTTTTTGGGAGGTAGATTTTTACAAGATTAAGGGTAGGGAAACAGCAGACTATGCTATGATCTATACACAGCTGAGAACTTCTCCACATCAACCAAGCCACTGAATGCATGTGAGAGAATTTAAAAGTTTTGGTTTTAAAATTTCTTTTGATTTTGATAGATTGATTTATTTTGACTACACCTGGTCAAAACTGTGTAATAAAGGTGTGAATAAGGTGGGCTTCCTGTATACAACTTCCATCCACCATGATGAGGAACGCTAAACTGAGTATTTCCCCGAGGTCTTATTAGACAACTTGCATCTTTTCTCCCTTCAGAACTCCCCGGAGTCATTATGTTACCTCTGAAACAAAGACCTCGGGCAGCCTGCAGCTGGGTGATGATGGGTAGAGTGATTGCCAAGGGCCCACTAAGTCAGGGTACTAGTCAATTCAAATTACGAACAGATATGGCCGTGAAAGACATCTGTTGTCCTTTTTTTAATGACTGTTCAGACCTCTAAGTATCTAAGAGTCATCTGAATAGCACTTAGATTTCGCACTAAAGACCCCGAGCAGTTCATTTGTGATGAATGTTGATGTTTTTCAAAAGCATCTCTTATGTCTGAACATGCTTAATACCTGCAGTTTCTGTAGTCTGTCCTCAACTGCTCCTTGATCCCCAGGGTCATCTGAAAAATTGTCAAATTCTCCAGAGAAGCCATCCAACATGGCATTCAGATCTGTGATGCAGACCTGGTATGAGTGGTGTTCTTGAACGTGACCCTCCAATTTTTGCACGGAATCCTAAAAGTAAAACCATCAATAATTTATAACTTTCTTCTGAATTTTTTCACTCTAAAAGTAATTATTTAATGCATAAACTCAGTTTTAAAGAGTTTCATCTTGAAATAGCAATATGTCCAAAACTTATCCAGAGTGTTTAGGGTTTGAGATTTTCCACTGCAAAAATCTCCATTTTCCCCAAAAGTGACTCTTACTTAAGACATTTCTTCTTCCCACACGGCTCTGCCTTCATTTTCTTCCTGAAGACAATTTATTTGTCAAGAAGGTTACAAAAGAAAATTCTGACAAATTATATCATTAAGTCACATATACCCAGAATAAATCAGGTCCCTTAATTATCTGTCTCTCTGAAACCAACAATTTACACATGAAAGTGAGACTGTATGAGATCAACCTAATCCTCGATTCCTTTCCTCAGAGTCAAACTCAAATCCTGTGTGTTAGGAAAAAGTAATCGTAACTCAAGAGCAGCCCCATCTTCCAGTTCCCTCCCTGGGATAAGAAAATAAGATGACCACACTTGATCAGAAAAGCAACAAGTACCAAACAGTCCATCAGGTAAATCATAGCAGGGACCCGGCTCTTTTTGGGGGAGGGGTGCAAGAAGAAGAGTACTAGGGTTTGCACTCAGGGCCTTGCACTTGCTAGGAAAGCACTGTACTACTTGAGCCTCATCCCCAGCCCAATAAGTAGGATTACTTATCTAGGTGATCCTTACATTGAATCTGGCTTTCACTGTGCAAAGAATTACAAACAGTTCTGTTAAAAGAATACATTCCCTCATGGCAAGCTGACATGTGGTCCACTTTTTTGCTGCAGATCACATGTAAAGATTCAAGGGAAGGCACTGATAAGAAGGTGGACACAAGATAATTGATACATCCTATTCTGATGGATGGATGGATGGATGGACTGACATGTCACTCCATAGAGATGCCCAAAGAATATTAACCTATTTAACTTGTAAAGAAGGGAACTTCAATGTGAGGAACTAATACCATAGTCAAATAACACACAATGGATTCTTCAGCAACACTGATGGGAAGAGTCAGCATTTTCATGAAAAATGGTAAGTTTGGAATGCTTTGGGTAACAAAAGAAGGTAACAAACAATTTGTATGGTTCCATATGCAAATCTTACATAAAAACGGCAGCAAATCATTTAAGATTTTCCTCGTTGACTTCACCTGTAGTTGCTGAAGAAGACTTTCGTGCAGGTGTTTTATTTCCAGCCAAGGCTCTTCGCTGAAGCTGGGATTTTTCGTGCATTCCAAGAGGTAATTTCCTTGAGATTTTAACTCCTTTAGCAGAGATGTCAGATCTTGTGCCTTCTGGAGGAATTTCTTATAAATTTTTAACTGGGCTTTCTTTTCCTGCAGACCATGCTGCAGAGCGAAGCCTGCTTCTTGTTTCTTCCTTAGGTCTGTAAGCATTAACCTTAGGTCCTCCTTGCTTTGCAAATACTTTTCTCCTTCTTGTTGAAGTTTTTCTTGATGGCTAAATTTCACCAAATATTTTATAAATGAAATGACAGCAAAATGGAGGAGCATTTTGCATATTATAGCCCAACCTACATTACAATAAACCACATTAAATAACACAAATATACATCATTCCTAGAGACTTTTTGATACTATAACATTCTAAATAACACAGTTTAGCTCAGAAATTAAGATAGAAATTATTTAAGTGTTACTAAAATATAATTGGTTATACTTTGACCAGGAAATATTCAATACTTTGGATTTCAAACTAGAACCAAGTTTTTCTTACATTTAAATATAATTATAATACAATAAATATAATATCCTAAGCTTTTATTACATTTAAATATAATATCCCAGATCTCACATTTACATAAAAGCAAAATAAGCATTCAGTATATTAAGCAAGTAACTGGCTTATGCTTTCAATAACTTAAATTCAGTTTTGATCTGTCTCCTTAGAAAAACCTGACTCAACATTTCCAAACATGAAATGTACCATTTAAGACATAGTATGAAACAAGAAATGTCACCAGAAATACATGCAGAGGATTCAGCTCAACGTTTATCCATGTTTACTCATTTTAAGAATTTCTTAGAACAAATAAGTATTTAAAATGAGTAATTATTCTACAGTGCTCCCAGGCAGATGTTGAGGCTGGGGGAAGGGGGTGAGGGCAGAATGACAATTGTGAGAATCTGTCGCTAAGAACCCCAGGTTGATGTGTTACTTCTACTAAACACCACCACAGCAGTTCCATATCTGATCTGGAGGATGGTTCCTCTTACAGATGCCCTGATTTTCCCAACTTTCTCTCCAGTACATATTGTATCAAAACCCAGGTGGCAGACAAAACGAGCTTGTTATGGCTTCACTGGGCACAGCAAGACGCTCCAGGGTGAAGGCGCGTGTGCCCTTTACCTTAGGTATGTGTTGGCTAAATGGAGCGTGGTGTCCCACTGGTGGGTGACATCAGAAAGGGTCTCCTGAACCAATGGGGCCTCGCTGCTCTCGGCTTGTCTCATAATGGTCTGGATTTTGACATCACCTTCAGGCTTTAGTAAAATGATCTCCTAAAACGAATGGAAAAGGTCTTACAACTTCGTTTGCATTAATTAGGAATATTACAGATAATATCTTTTTGTCTGTAAGCTTTACACTGAGATTCTAACGGTAGAGTGCATTTCACAATGACATTTTCATAAATGTCCCAAAGACAAATGCATCTCTCTTCATGTTGTATAGAGCTGTTCTCAATATACCCTCGTCCACTTGAGCTGACTGCATTCCTGCTCACCCCTTGATTTTCACCTGCCTTCTTGTTTCCATGGGCCAAAAAATCCAGGCAAATCCTCCCTCCTAGCTACTCCTCATATTTATAGGTGGAAAGTCACTAGGCGAGACATTTCTATACATCCAAGAATAGGCTTCTGGCTTCCCACACGGAAACTGTTCCTCATGTCAACTCTTGAACCTCCACCATGACAACTAATCCTTGTTCCCTGCTCCCTTTCCCTCCTTTGCTCTGACAATTAAATTGTTCTCTTCTTGGAAAAACTACTCAAAATTCACGTTCTCTGGGAAAACGTACAGACATAATCCCAAATGACTGACAAAGTCTCACTAACTCTTGCAGTTGACTATTCTTGATCATTTCTTTCCATAATTGTACTTCAATTAACGTGATTTCAATAAGCACATGTACTGCTGAACCCTGTTTTTTACCTCGCAATGTTTAGTGACTCTCCTCTTGGATGGTAAGAGAGCTCACGGGATACTGAGATACTCTTTGTCCTCCTTACCCCTCAGTAGCTAGTAACCCTTTCTGAACTCACAGCCACTCAGAAGGATTCCCCTCCATCTTTGCCCTCAGCATTCTGGCTGTCTCTGCTCGACTCACATAGATTCCTTTTGAGTCTTAGAAAACTGGGCTCTCAGCTACTGCCTTTATTTCAATTTTTCTGCACATAGCAAAGATGAACAGTAACTGGGCACTAGTCTCTCCAAAAAGAGGGTATGCTTTCTCTCTTTCGGAGACATTAAAATAATTTTAAGACCCATCACAATCCTTCTCTTTTTTAGATCAGTGATTTGAATTTCTTCAACCATTCTACAGTCTCCTAGTTTCCATTAAGAAACAAATCTTTGCAGTTTTCCTCTGAACCTTTTCAAAGGGAGAGTTCACGCTGACCTCTCAAATTTCCACAGTCATACCTTTATTTTTTGGATTCTTTCTTCAAGTGGCATTTTGCCTTCCAATGAATTCAAAGCCATGAGGGACTCTTTAATCTCTTTTATCCAATGAATTACATCGTGGGTAAGATCATGAAAGTTCTGGGCTTCAGCAGATGGTAACTTATCCTCGTCCTCAATTTCATGTAATTGGCTCAACAACACTTGGTATCTATCAATCAAATGTGTGGATTCCATTATTATTTCTTCTTCCTCTTCAAGTCCATGTTCCTTCAAAGAGTTACTCAGCTGGGCCACAGATTCAAACTGCTCCCTGCAATTTCCAAATACCATGGAAAGTTTGTAGGTGTCACTTCTATGTGACAGAGAAATCATAATTCCAACTAATACATTTTGTACGAGATCACAATACCTCTTTCTAGCTAACACTTGGTACAATAGCTCGGCTTTCTCTCCTGATTCTTCCATTTCTTTCCACTTCTCCTCTTGATTAGCCAGCCATTTACTCAGGTTTCTGCAATCATCCTGTAGACTAAAAGAAGAATTCCCAGATTAGACTATTACAAAAAGCAGAAGGCGTTCACACTGAAGAGAAGGAGGGCCATAGACCTTGTGAGTCAACTCTGGGCTTATTTTTTAGAGAAAACAACTTGTAATAAAAGCTTCCTGTATGATAGTGGAATTCATTAAAGCAATGAGCCCTATGGATGTACCATAAAGATCAGGTAATAAATAGAAAATGCTTTTTGACTAACCCCTGAATCTTTGTCATTTTAGATAATTTGAAGAATTTTCTGAACTTTTATATTCTTAACACCAAATGCAGATTTAAAAGCACAGGCAGGGGTTGGGGATGTAGCTCAGTGGTAGAGTGTTTGCCTAGCATGCATGAGGACCTGGGTTTGGTCCTCAGCATTGCAAAAAAACCTTACGGTTGACCCTCTGTGTCTTTATTTCCACACTCAGGATTCAATCAGTCACAGAACAAAATTACTTTAAAGAGAAACCATGTCTGTATTGAACATGTACAGGCATTTTTCCCTTTGTGGAGTATTTCTTAAGCAATACAGTAGAACAAATACTCACATAGCATTTACACGGCAGTAGGTGTTATATGTCATCTGGAGCTGATTTAAAGTGTAGGGGAGGCTGTGCCTAGATGATATACAAATACTATGCCATTTTATATAAAGGACTTAGGCATTGCAGATTTTGGTAGCTAGGAGGGTTCCTGGAACCAATCCCATGTGGATACCAAGAACAACTGAATCTATCTTACTTGTGAAATGTGTGTGTGTTGTATGACCCAGCATACACCGTACTGAGAAAGCACACACTAGAAATGACCAGAAAAATATCTCTAGAAACATTATTTTGGTGTGGAGCCATAGCTCAAGTGGTAGAGCACCTGCCTAGCAAGCGCAAGGTCCTGAGTTCAAACCCCAATACCTCCACCAAAAAAAAGAAACAAATGTTATCTAGCTGTCATCTTTATTTCCCACCTCAGTAGCTGCTGCAGAGTGTTATCGAGCTCCTTTGTGCGAGCCTGGCATATGGACTCCATTTTTTCTAATTCAAATTCTTGGCTCCCAAGCCAACTGTTCAGCTCCTTAACCTCTGCTTTGGGAAGATGCTTCCTCACATGCTGCAGTACACTTTCCACCTGCTGGATTTTACTGCTTCTTCCTTCCAGAGCCAAGAAATCCTTAAGAAAGACAAAAGGTCATCAATCACGGTCTGCTGGCAAGTCTCAATGTGTCTCTGCCACATCCATGCCACTTTTCCAAGCAGCACTCAGACTTTCAACCTTCTTACCATCCTATGCAGGAGGGTTATGAAGATGTGGCTAGCACCGATGGCAGGTGACCTTAGTAATTCTAGAATGTCTATGTACATTGCTCACTTGCACCTGGATTGCTGGGAGTTACATCAAGCAAAATAATGCAGTACCACTGGGAACAAGACCAAGGAAGTCACCCATTTCTGGTTCTGCTCCACTTCTAAATACCTGCTCCTTCCTGGCAATCACTATGTAAACCTAACCAGAATATTCTCCCTTTAATTTTGCCCAAAACAGAATTTTGTTTCCAATGTTTGTGTTTCAGTGTTTGGGCATCAATTTGCTAAGGCCTGTGAAATGGGCAAAGTTAAAAGAAAAAGAGGGGGAAATATAGGCTTACCAATAAAGAGTATACCATCAAACAATGCATGAGAGAATATTTAGTGCCACTGATAGTGTAAAATGTGACTTAGCCTCAAAACAAAGCAGAGGGTGCACCTGTAGTCCCAGCTACTGGGCTGGGGAAGCAAGGCAGGAGGATCGAGTAAGCCTAGGAGTTCAAGGACAGCCTGGGTCTCAAAAAACAAAGAGACAAACAAATGAATTAAAGTAGAAGACAATCCACCCTAAAGTGATCAAGATGCAAGCATGCCAAAGGCATTTTACATGTTCCCATGAGCCTGCCTTTTATTTTATGTTGCACTTGACCAGTAGTATATTAAAATTTAATATAATTTTTAAAAGAAACATGACTGAAAAAACACTTATAAAAGGCCAAAGGCTGGGGAGGGGAGTAGATTAGTGATTGAGCACTTGCCTAGCAGGCATGAGGTCCTGGGTTTGATCCCCAGGAACCCTTCCAATCCAAAGTTTACGAAATTTTTATTTCTTATCAAATATGATTTTAACACAATGGAATTTACTAAAACAGTATCTTAGAATAAGTAAGAAAGTAGAATTTGTTAAAGCCACTTACTTTTTCTGGAAATAGAGTTCTAAAGTATTTAGGGAAAAAATCAGATCATTTGAGAATATTATCCATTATATAAAAAAGGTAGTAAGTCTGAATAATCATTTCCCTATCTACTTAAGGACAGTTCCATGCTGCCAGTATTTTAGTTCTTACAGAAAGTTTTTGCAGCTTTTGTTCCATGCTCAGTTTGGTTGCTGATGGTTCAAAACACTCCTTAAGGTTCATTTTCATGGTGCTGAACCAGTCAGTGAAGGCCTTGCATTGATCTGCGGGAGGGAAAAAGAGAAAAAGCTCTACACATTCAGTTAGGTGCAAGCCATCTGCAAGCCAGGCTTAGATGAGTCCTTGTGCCCACTGTACAATATCCACACTTCAAGACTCCCAGGAACAAAGTGAAAGAACTTGGCACTCACCATTCAGGAACACACAAAAGTGATCTTGCAGAACACTCTTTTTGGTGTTAAATAAACCACTGACACTTTCATATTGCTTTTTCAATTCAGAGAGTTCAGGAGTGAGGCAACCTATTTGATTCTCCAGTATTGTCATGCTGTGCCTCTGCTGGAGGATTTGCTGTTGGATCTCCTGCAGAGAGAGACAAATGGACAGCTGCCATTACGCCCGGAAACGGGCTCAGTTCATACAAACCAGGCAAGGCCTTCAGTGCTGTGTAAAAGTCTAGAAGGCTCAGTTGAGTGCATGTGCTTTCTCTTTGCTAGTTAATGTATAACACAAGGCAATTTAACATCTAAAAGTGACTTTCCACGAAGCAATTCCAGGGTGAAAGTGCTCAATGTACAAACTGGTTTTCTGAGTTTTTCCTGCAAAAGGCCAAGACATCAGAAGTAAGAGTGGGCATAAGGCTGGCTGGTGGAAGGCGAGGGGTAGGGTGGCACCTCGAGTTTGGTGAATATCTCCAGGCTGTCGGAAGGAGACAGGGCGTTCAGGAGTGACTCAGTCATCCCAATCTGGGTCTTGGCTTGGTCCAAATCCTCCCTCAGCTCAGCCGTGCTGTCACCCAGCTCACGGCAGTTGGATTCTTCCATTGCAAGCTTTTTCACATGCTCTATCTTGCTCAAAACAGAGGACTCCATGACCTGAAATCATGAAACACGTGACATACTACAATGACCTTATTTAACTAGAGCTCATGACCACTGCATCGCAGCAGACTAAGTTGAGATGCTTCCTTCACCGTGAAATAAGTTCTTCCTGCTGTCCTACATTGCTCAACGGCACGGATCCAATTAGAAGGATGCCTTGAAAGGAATAAAGAACAACACGGAAAAACTGAAATTGACATTGTGACTTTTCTCAGGAGATTAATGGGAATCCTCCTCCCCAAAGAAGTTCCATTTAACTTAAAACTCAAGTGTTACCTCATGGCACTCACGAGATCAAACACACAGAAAAACACGCAGATAAGATAAAAACATAAAAACAGTCAGCCTCCGTTTTGTTTTTGAGACAGGGTTGTGACACGTAGCCCTGGATGGCCTAGAGCTCATGATTGTGCACCAGACTGCAGCGTGGGGGTTATAGGTGTGTGTCACTACCCCCGGCTGGCTATCATTATTTTTTATGTACACAATATGTGGTAAGTACTTCATGTACAAAATACAGACTTCAAAAGGTTAAGTGACTTTCCCAAAACCCAAAGCTAGTGGGCAGTACAGTCAGGATGCCACCCAGAAAGACTGCTACTGAGCTCATGTTCAACCATTATGAACCTTGATGCAGATGAAATTGAGACGGGTCTGAATCTTCCCCTCTTCCATCGGCCAGTCAGTAAACCTAAGGTCACTTGAGTCATAGTCGCTCTACACCCAACACACCCACAGGAAGCCACTCTCACCGTAAATAAGTGAAAGCAGATTAGAAGAAGGCAAAAATATAATAGTATTCATGCTAAACATGGAAAACATATAATTACCTATACCCACTATTAAAATTTGGTTGGGCCAGGAGTGGCGGCACATACCTGTAATCCCAGCACTAAGAAAGGATGAGACAGGAGGATCATGAGTCAGAGGTCAACCTGGGCTTATATAGTGAGACCCTGTCTCAAAAAAACTGTTTTTGTTGATCTTAACATAGTTGTCAAATAAATAATCCTACTCTTATTTTATGTTTAAAACTTAGAATGTTTGATTTATGAACAAGATTTTAACGATTACAGAGAATCTTTGAGACTCTTAAATCAAAGTTCTCATACCTGTAATTCAAGTGGTTTTTCACTACTTTGAAGCAGGAATTGTATTTCAGCCACTCTTCTAGAAAATTCTGAAGTTTGTTCTTCAAAGGCTTGTAACTCTTCCTAAAACACATAATTTTAAAGGAAAATATCTTTTTATTTCATATCTTATCTTTAGGTGCCCATGATTTTATTGTTGATATAAGAAACTGAGGATGTCCTTTAATTTCTCTTAATCACTTAGGTTTTTTTTTTTTTTTGACAGTCTGCAAAGGTGAGGGGAGGGGGGAAATGGGACATTGTGAACCCAAACCCTAGTGCTTTTAGGGGTCTGGTAGATGATAACCAATTGAATATTCCCACTTTTTGGACAACAGAAGGGCAAGGCCTGTGCTACAAGCCTGCATGCCCTCCCTGAGGCATGAAAAACTTCTTAGATATGTACAGAATATTAAATTGTGAATGAACACATACACAGGCACTTGCAAACACAATTTCAGAAGAACCTGGCTCACAGGCTAGCAGCCTACAAAACTGAACTTCATTCAGATTTTCAAGCAACCTGTAGTTCAAGACAAACTCAAAGGGCTCTTAGAGGTGACTCATTTATACTCAGAGAGCCACGGTTTCACTTCATGACTATTATAATCATCCAGGAAACTGGAAATCAAGTATTTTGAAGATATTTCCCAAACATATAAAAATAGATGTGTAAATTAAAAGCTAAGTAAGATAGCAAGAATTAGGAATAAAATGAGATTTGAAACATTAGCTTCATGCACACATCCACATACACTTTTATATCATGTTGTTATCGCTCTCCATGTGTGGATGTGGATGTGCGCATGTGTGCGAGTGTGTGTATATACGTATGTATGTCAGTGTGTGTGCGTACGTGTCAGTGTGTGTGTGTATGTGTGCACGAGTGTGCGTGCATGTGTATGTGTGTGAATGCTTGTGTGTGCACGTGTGTGTGCATGCACATGTGTGTGCGTGTGTGAGTGTACGTGTGCACGTCTGTGTATGCATGTGTGCATGTGTGTATGGATGTGCACATGTGTGTGCACATGTATGTGCACGTGTGTACATGCTTTGCGTGTGTGCATGTATGTGTGTACACGTGTGAGTGTGTATGTGTGCAGGTGTGTGGTATGTGTGTCTGTGTACATGTGTGTGTGTATGTGTCTGTGTGTGTGTGCACAGATGTGTGTGGGTGTCTGAATGTGTCTGTGTGTAGGCATGTGCATGTGCGTGTATGTGTGCATGTGTGTATATGTGTGTATGTATGTCAGTGTGTGTCTCTGTGAGTGCGTGCATGTTTATGTGTGCATGTATGCATGTGTGTGTGTTTGTACGTGTGCATGTGTATGTCTGTGTGGGCACATGTGTCTACGTGTGGGTGTGGGTGGGTATGTATGTGTGTGCGTGGACACATGTATTTGCACGTGTGTGTGCATGTCTGCGTGTATGTGTGCATGCGTTCATTTGTCTATGTGTGTGTATGAGTGTTTGCATGTCTGTGGGTGTGTGCATGTGTGTACGTGTGTGTGTCAGTGTGTGCGTGTGTATATGTGTATGTTTGTGCGTGTGCGTATCTGTGTACATGTGTTCATGTGCATGTGCGTGTATGTGTGTGTATACATGTGCATGTGTGTGGGTGTGCACGTGTGTGTGTCCAAGCATATGTGCGTATATATCCGTGTGTTCACGTGTGTGTGCGTGCCTATCATTGTGTGTGTGTGCGTGTATGTGCATCTGTGTATGTAAGTGTGTGTGCGTGTGTTCATTGTGCGTGTGCATGTATTTGTGTGTGTCCGTGTGCATGTATGTATGCATGTATGTGTACATGTGTGCGTGTGCATGCATGTTTGTGTATGTGTTTGTACATGTGTGTGCACGTGCATATGTGTTTGCATGTATGTGTGTGTACTCCCAACATCATGTATTGATCAATATCAAAATATAGATATAACATACATAAAAAAAACAGGAAACAAAAAACAAAATAAATACAAATAAGGCAAAGATAAACAAATTGGTAAAAAAAAAAAAATAACACACAAACAAAAACAAAGATATAAAAAAACATACAAAAAAAATAACCAAACAGTCGAGAAAAAAAAAAACAAAAA